AAATTTCTCCCAATTGCCTTCAGTATGTCTTTTTCTAACGTATGGAGAACAAGATCTGACACTGCGTTTGGTTGAGATGTCCTTAAGAACTTTTCATCTTGATTAGTTCTCCCTCTGCTCCATTTCTTTCATGCTCATCATTGATTGAAGAACTGGGTGGTTGGTGGAACTTCCCACATCCTGATTCGGCTGCTCAAATCGTCGTCGTCTCCTTTCATCTGTTTCTTTGTCCCCCATGTTTCTCACCATTTGGTAGTTAGATCTGTAAGTTCGATTAGATGCCGGTTCAATGTTTGTGCAAGAACATTTCGTAGACGCTGTGTACTTCCTTTTGCATTGCAATGGGAGGCATGTGGCATCTGTCTGTCTCGCTCAGCGATGTTAAGATAAATCAGTGGGTTTAGGGTTTTTAGCTTGATCGCGCCATTATAAGTTTCCCACCAACATACTTCTTTTTATTTTTACTTTTAAGTAATCTCTATGCCCAACATGGGGCTTGAACTCACCACCCTGAGATCAAGAGCCCCATGCTCCACCCACTCACCGAGCCAGCCAGATGCCCCCTTCCACCCATATTTTGTTTTATAAAGATTTTATTTATTTGACAGAGAGAGATCACAAGTAGGGAGAGAGGCAAACAGAGAGAGAGAAGCGGGGGAAGCAGGCTCCCTGCTGAGCAGAGAGCCCAATGCGGAACTCCATCCCAGGACCCGGAGATCATGACCTGAGCCGAAGACAGGGGCTTAACCCACTCAGCCACCCAGGCGCCCCTCCACCCATATTTTAATAGCATGGCTGTCGCTGCCTTATTGCAGGGTTTCTTTACAACTGTGAAGAGTGACGCTGTAATTCCAACTGTTCTGTTGCATTTATCTTCCTTACACACTATTTGGGTATCCTGAAATGATAGCAGAATAAATGCTTGATTTTTTCCCCTCTTATTTACTGATTTTCCAAACAAGTAGCTTCTTAGGTGATACAAGAGTAAATAAACAATGAGGGATTTAAAAAAATATTACTATGCATTCATGGGTTTGTATACATTTGATATATTTCAATCAGTCCGTTGTTATTCATTCTTCAGCCCAAACTGTTGCATCTCTAGTCACAGGGCTCCCCTTTATCTTGGCTCTTGGGCTCTTTTGACATAACCTCAGAAGTAAGTGATAGCTACCTTATTCTGGGGCGTAACAAAATACCACAGGCTCATCTTACACGATCCCTGCCCCAGTTTTGAGATCCGTCATCTCCTAAAGGGGTCTTTGTTCCTCTTAGTGGGCAATGGCATTTAGATGATGAGTTGGGACACTAGGGTTGCTCATAGCCAATGGACTGCCATTGCTTCTTGGCCTTTTCAGTGGACACAGCTAACACAGATGTGTTTTGTAGAAAGAGAAAAATTGATCATGACCCATACTACCACGGCTGGTTCAAATTTTCCATTATGTAACTTATCCCTAACACCATTGATGTGAGACTTGTATCTCTTCATCTTTCACTGAAGACCTTGGCATTTAACGATATCAATTCAATGACTTATTTCCTATTTTGCTTATATGTATAGATGTGAAATACAAATGCGAGCAATAACAGCTAGACAACAATTCCAGGATTATTACTAACAAATATTATTATTAAGTGCAGTTTGATTTTTTGCCATTTGTTTTTAAGATTTTATTTATTTATTTGACAGACACAGACATGGTGAGAGAGGGAACACAAGCAGGGGCAGTGGGAGAGGGAGAAGCAGGCTTCCCAAGGAGCAGGAAGCCCGATATGGGGCTTGATCCCAGGACTTTGGGATCGGGACCTGAGCCAAGGGCAGACACTCAATGACTGAGCCACCCAGGTGCCCAACTTTGCCTGGTTTTTTTTTTTTTTTTTTTTAATCCTGAGGATGTGTCACACAAAAGATATATAGTCCAAATAATGAGTTTTAAAGTCAGTTACTTATTTTTCCAGGTAGTTATGTCAGTAACTCCTGATACACCTTGATTAGTGGCCTTTTTTTTTTGAGAAATGCTTTGTTATTTACTTAAAAAAAAAAATAATCAGGGCACCTGGGTGGCTTAGTCATTAAGCATCTGCTTTTGGCTCAGGTCATGATCCCAGGAGCCTGGGTTAGGGTTCAGGCTCCCTGCTCGACAGGGAGCCTGCTTCTCCTTCTCCCACCCCCCCTGCTTGTGTTCCTGCTCTTGCTTTGTCTGTTAAATAAATAAATAAAACCTTAAAAAAAAATCATGTAAGCCATTTATATGATTCCAAAGCCAAACTATAAAACACAGTATATGAAAATAAGCCTAGCTTCCACTCCCATTCCCTTCATTCTGTTTTTTCCTTCTATGTGACCATTTTTATTAGTTTGTGTTTTACACTTCCATTGCCTCTTCTTGAAAATGTGAGCAAATGCACACATCTTTGATAGAAAAAATGCAACATATATGTGGTCCTAGGCTGGCTTTTTTTTACAGTTAATGTAACCTGGAGTCCTGTGGCCTTCCACAGAGACAGGCTTCATTCTTTTGTAAAGCTGCACAGAAGTGCATTGTGTGGATGGCCGGTGGTTTATTCAGCCCATCTTCTGTGGATAGACTTGTGGGTTCAACAAACATTTATTGCATGGCTAAATCGTGCCAGGCACTGGGATAAAGAGATGGTCTCTGGCCTCAGGAAACTCAGAGAGAAGAGGGGGAGACCCCCGCAATACAAGCGCTTTGCTCACAAGGCAGTGAGCTCTTGGATCCACTGAGCACAGAGGGTGCGTGGAACAGGACAGACAGGCTCACACACAGGCAGGACACAATGACACTGTTGATTGGCATCTTGCTCTCACACGGACCTTAATACGGGAGAATCCTCACGGGAGGAACTCTTTTTTTTTTTTTTAAATCAATGTTTGAAATTACTTAGAAAATCTTGAGTGCCACCAATTGGTCAGGGAAGGCAAGGCCAAATGAAAGAGGCAGAGAGGTAGGGTCCTAACCACAGAATTTCCTTAAAAGAGGAAACGTGAATTAATATATCAGCTGTGGTTTAACAATTAACGCCGGCATTCAATTCAACACTCACCCGAGATCGCTGTAAGCTGTGGACACACGCTTAAATTAACTCCTTTATTCTTAAATAACAATTCTGAGAAGTAGGGACTATGACGCCTTGCATTTTACCGCTGAAGAAATTGCGGCACAGAGAGGTTACTGAACTCGTCCCCCAAGGGCACGCAGCGAGGGGACGAGGAAGGGGGCACGGGAGGACAGAGCAGACAGGACACTCGCAAGCGGCGCCCTCTCCCCCCGGTGGGACAAAAGTATCATGATCACCCCCTGGGGAGGAGGAACTACCGTCGACACCTCCCTTCCCAGCCCCCCTTCCCCGCCCCCCAAATCGAAAAAATCCTGCAGAGCTTTCTCTGGCCCCGAGGGACGCAGGAATCCCAAGGCCTGTAGGCCACCTGGGGGGTGTGCGGCGGCGGCCCAGCCCGCCCCGCCCGCAGCGCGGATTTGAGCAGCGGCCGTGAGCTGCGGGGTTGCCCGCCGAGGGTCCCCCTCTGACTCTTCCAGGCGGGCGCTGCGCCGGTCAACTGGACGCAGCTTTACACTCAAGGAACCTGCAGCGGGGGTACAAGCAGCGCCGACGTAGCATGACACGGGCAAGGACAAGGTGTCGCACTGGGCAGTGGCTCTCCGCCCTGCTCCGCCTCGTCTCGTCTGTCGAACAGAACCAAAGACAGGCGGTTGTTCCCCCTGCCCCCGGCTTGGGACCTGCGGATCGCCTGCGCTCGCCCCGCGGGCCCCCAGCGTGGACCTGCGGATCGCCTCGGCGCGCCGGCTCCCTGCCGGCGCCACCTGCCGCCCAGGCCCAGTACTGCGCGGGGCTGCTCCAGAGCACAACGCTCTCACCCGCGGGCCCGCTGGGAGCGCTCGGATCACCCCTCCTTTCCCGGCGGCCCCGCGTCTGGGTGGGGGTCAGGTACCACAGGCCAAGTTTTCTCCCGACCCTGGCATCTGACTTGCAGCAGCCTATAGCTATCTGCTAAATTTAGGAAGCCGGGAGCTGGTTAAAAACCTACACGGTTGGGGCGCCTGGGTGGCTCAGTTGGTTGAGCAGCTGCCTTCGGCTCAGGTCATGATCCCCGCGTTCTAGGATCGAGTCCCACATCGGGCTCCTTGCTTGGCCGGGAGCCTGCTTCTCCCTGACATTCTGTCTGCCTGTGCTCGCTCTCGCCCTCTCTTTCTCTGATAAATAAATAAAAAAAACTAAAAAAAAAAAATTAAAAAACAAAACAAAACAAAACAAACCTACACCGTTTACACACCTGACTAGTAGCCCGGTGAACTAACGCTTCTTGAAAAACCGACCACGTTGCTTCAACAACTTGCAGATCAAACCTAAAAACACCAAAACTTCTACCTTTTCTTTCCATAAAACTTGAAAAAAAAGGATCCTACAAGTTCACGTCAGATGGGTAATGTGCCGAGGTCGTAACAAGGTTTAAAGGGTGGCACATATCACACAGACGCGTGAACACCCAATCATCACGCTTATGAACTACAAAAGGATCGTAGCTGCGCCATCACTAAGGGATACTGAGGATGTCCCACAGACTTTGCAGAAAGGGTGACAGACTTATGCTTATATATTCGGTCTCAACAGTAAAATAGTGTATACTTTTAAAATATCTTCGATATTTTTCTTTTGTTTCTACCTTCGTAAATTAAAACAGAACCAAATTAGCGAGAGCATATATATATGCAAATTTCTCCGCCCCAACTCCACCTTTTGGTGGGAAGCTGGGTGTCTGTTGCTTTACGACAAGCAGGTCGTGAAATGACGGAGTGTTGCCTGAGTATTGGCGGCCGCTAGCCATGTGCTTTGCGGCAGCGAGGCGAGCTAGGTCCGGATCCTAATAGGTAGAGCGGTACTGGAGGGTTTGGAGGCTCCTTTGGAGGTGCATGTGTCATGCCTTAAGGATTTATTTTTTTAAACTCGTAGGGTTTTTGTGTTTTTGGTTTGTTTTTAATCTTTTAGGAAGGCAAGGATAATTTATCTACTGTTGGGAGTCTGAGCTTCTGTTACTTCCAGAGAGGCTCCTTTCCGTTTCCTCCATCTTTTCCTTTACGCAGAGTGTACTCTCGCGGGTTAGACTCGCACCCCCCAGTCCCCAAGTCTTGCAGTTTTATTTGGTTTTAGTTGCGTTCTTCAGGAGAATTCCAGCCTCCGGGTGATCTTTTTTTCTCCAGCAGATCCCCATCAGCGTCCCATCTTGGCTCTCTGGAGGAGACCGGCTCCGCACTGCTGCCAGCTGAGGAATGGAGCAGGACAGCTCTCGGGAAAACCCATCGCGGGAAGGCGCTTCCTTGCCGGGAGATCCGCCTTCCTCCGCCCTTGGACCGTCTTTATCCCAGGTTTTGCACCGTCTTACCAGCGAGGAGTCCCGACGGGGCAAGGCCAGAAGTGCAGCAATTAAGGACCTCGGTGCTCTAATAGAAGCCGCAGAATGTGATCAGTTATTTGAGGGGAACGACACGTCGCTCCGCGGAATGCCCGAGATGCTGGGGCAGGTGGCAAAAGCCCTGGGGAAGTATGCAGCCCCACCCAAGGAGCAGGAAGGTAGAGCTCATGGCTACTCTGAAGTGGCTGAGAAGGGGGCAGCTGTTGGGGTACTGTTTCTTAAATTAATGGGGAAAATTGAGGCGGCCAAGAATTCCTTGCTTTGTCCTACGTGGAAGATAGGCCTACGTCACTTGGCAGGACCCATCTATATTTTCGCCGTTACACACAGCTTGGAGCAACCATGGACCAGCCCAAGATCCCGTGACGTTGCTGGAGAGGTGCTCTCCTTACTCCTCCGAGTTACTCAGTGTGTTTCCGTGGCAGGATTTCTGCACGGAGAAAATGAAGATGAGAAAGGGAGATTTACTTTAGTAATGGAGCTTCTCAAACCAGATTTGAATAAGTGAGTATTTTTGTCAAAGGGGCCACTAACTCGAGCTTCATCCTAACGTTTTAGAATTGTTAGAGCTCAAAGGAACCTGAGTTTCTTTGATGGTAAGATAAAGGTGTCCTGATAATAACGGGTCTCTTAAGGCCCAGGAAGGTGGCGATTTTCTATAAATGACATTATTGGGTATTGGCAAATTCGACATTAGAGCCCAGGTCTTCAGACTCCCATTTCCTGGTGCTCTTTCCGGTTCTCACAACTGCCCTGGACATTGGAAGTTCTGTCCCATTTATTTATACTCAAGTTTCTTAAGTTAGGTGAGGATGGGGATCTGGAGAGGATTTAAACTCAGAGTTTGAATTTAAAATTAGGGATGTTGAAACTCATCACTAATTATTAGATAAGGATAGTTATTAGATATGGAAGTGATGTTTGGGATGAAAAAAACCCTTCAGATTGCTATTAGCTAAAATATTTTATGTGAGTTCCACTTGCTACTTTATATGTTACTATTAGTAGGAGGAGAGTGATGAGAAAAAACTGTGTACGTAACTGTCATTTTACCAGGAACTTGAAGTTTTGGGGTAAGCTCATACTTCTTTTTATTGCTTCTGAGTAGGACCAGGTCGGAGAGCCTTTCTGAACCTGTTTCATTTTTCTGTAATATAAAGATATTATCTATTACACAGTTATTTTGAAGGTTGAGTAACGTGGTTAAGCCCACTTTATAAGCTGTAAATTGCTTTTGTTCAAATCTCGATTCACTTGCTCCCTTGTTATACTTACAATGATACTGAAGGTATTTCTTTTACTTCCTCTCCTCCCCCACCTTTTTAAAAGATTTTATTTATTAGACAGAGACAATGAGAGAGGGAACACAAGCAGGGAGAGTGGGAGAGGGAGAAGTAGGCTGCTCACTGAGCAGGGAGAAGCAGGCTCCCCACTGAGCAGGGAGCCCGGTGGTGGGACTCGATCCCAGGACCCTGGGATCACGACCTGAGCCAAAGGCAGACACTCAACTGACTGAGCCACCCAGACGCCCCACTCCTTTCTCTCTTCTTAGCAGGTCTTCCCTGTAACCCCCCACACCATCACCATAGATTCTTTACAAGCTACTGTTCTAAATGCCTCCTTTTCATTGGATAAGCTTTAGACCTAGAGCCCTGGCTGATTGATTGTTAAATGTATTTAGTATTGGGTTTTTTGTTTTTTGTTCTTTTAGTGCAAGTTCTATAAGTTATTTTGATCCAAATTTTAAAATATATAACACCAAGAGTTACATGTGATGTATTCTTTTCAAGGACAAGAAAATGGTCTGTTTAGCTTGAAGAGGTTGATTTTCTTTGCTAGTTAACACCACGTCACTTTACTTAATGTGGTTTCACATTTCCATGTAGGGAATCCTGGAAGAATAACCCAGCCACCAAACATGTTTTCTCATGGACTCTGCAACACGTCACCCGACCCTGGCTGAACCAACATCTGGAAAGGATACTTCCCCCATCACTGCTCATCTCGGATGACTATCAAACCGAGAACAAAATACTGGGTGTACACTGCCTCCATCACATTGTGCTGAATGTGGTAAGCAGCCTTGCACTGTATCATCTGTGTAGATGGGATGGGTTGAGTCATCATGATATCATTTTATCGTTGTCTTTTTATATCTTTTATTAACTTATATTAATGTTGTTATGGCTACATTCACTTATTTATATATTTTTTTCTTTATATTTTCTTTCTGCCAACCTAGTAGATTATACCTCATAGGTAACATGTATAAGACACCTGGGCCATCATCCTGCATGTCAAACTGAATAACCAGACCTTGAGTTGACTCAAGTTGACTTCCAAGAAGCAAAAAAAATCAGAAACTGAAAGAAGTTAAATCCAAATGTGCAAGCCATTATTATATTACTCAAGTAAACTTTTTTTTTAAACTGTGCATTACGGAGTTTTTAAAATACACACAGAAGTAGAGAGTGATATAATGAATCCTATGGCATGATCAATTCTCTGTATCCATACTTCAGTTTCAAAAATTACCAACATTGGGGGGGGTGCCTGGGTAGCTCTGCCAGTTAAAGTGTCTGCCTTTGGCTCAGGTCATGATCCTAGTGTCCTGGGATCCAGCCCCGCATGGGGCTCCCTGCTCAGTGAGGAGTCTGCTTCTTCCTCTGCCCTTCCCTCCTGCTTGTGGGCCCATGCGCTCTCTCACAAAAATAAGTAAAATCTGGGATGCCTGAGTGGCTCAGTCAGTAAAGCGTCTGCCTTCAGCTCAGGTCATGATCCCAGGGTCCTGGGATCGAGTCCCTCATTGGGCGCCTTGCTCCAAGGGGAGCCTGCTTCTCTCTCTGCCCCTCCCCCTGCTCTCTTTGTCTCTGACAAATAAATAAAATCTTATATAAATAAAATAGTTTTTAAAATTACCAACATTTTGCAATGTTGGGAGACTTTTAATTGGGTAATTTGTCTGCTCGCAGCCAGCTGCTGATTTGCTCCAGTATAACAGAGCCCAGGTCCTATACGATGCCCTTTTCAACCACCTCTACACACCAGAGTACAACCTCGTTCAGGTAATTGTACGGTTTGTTTACTCCTGTGACTCTCAGTTTTCAAATTTGAGTAGAAGTTGGTATTATATGAGTAAGAATAGTTGAGACACATTTTCTTCTTTTGGAAATTGAGGATGATGACTAAGTCATCGCCGACTTGAAAGTAAAGCAGTAGCAAATGAGTAGTGGAAATGTCTCAATACTAAGTAGGCATCCACATTTCTGAGTCTCCACAGAGCCAGTGTTTTGTCTCCATCTGGGTCAGTTTTATATCCGTTGAGGGCTGCTTTGTCTGAAGTTCTGTTTTTATTAACTTGTGTCCTTCTCTGCTTCTTTGTTTCAACACACACTTGAAACTCTTTGTATGTTGGGTATTACAGTGACATTCTTCCTTCCAAAAGACACTGAATATCTGCTGTGTGTGAGTAACCATTGTGGGTTCCAGGAGTGAATGGATCAGACAGAGCTTCTGGCTTTAAGAAACCCTTTGGAAAGACGTGTAATAAATGAGTACTTATACATGTCTGTAGTATAGCGTGATAAATCTGTTTAGAAGAGGTTTGTGTAGAGTGCAGTGGGTGTCCAGCAAAGGGTGGCTAACCAGGTTCGGTGGTGTTGGGATGGTTTTGGGAGCGTTTGGGAAGGAATGATATTTGAAGGATGAACAGAAGTTTTTGAGGACGGGCAAGAACATTCTGAAGACAGAAGAAACAAGTTATATAAACTCAGAGGTAGAAATAAACTTTCTTCTTATTCCTGTCCTCCCTTCCCCACGTCTCCATCCACCTTTCTTTTTAAATATTAATTTAAGTATTAAATTGAGAATCCAGGTACTGACAGCCAAGAAGTTTAGAGTTCTTTAGACGATGGTTTAAAAACAAAACTGAGGGGCGCCTGGGTGGCTCAGCCGTAAGGCGTCTGCATTCAGCTCAGGTCATGATCCCAGGGTCCTGGGATCGAACTCTGCATCGGGCTCCCTGCTCAGCGGGAAGCCTGCTTCTCCCTTTCACACTCCATTTGCTTGCTCTCTCTGTCAAATAAATAAATAAAATCTTAAAAAACAAAACAAAACAAAAAAACTAAGAGGAAAAAACAAAAATCCCAAGAGAGCTGGGAGTGCCTGCACACTGAAACTTCACATAGGGTGGTCCAGCTGGACACAGTTGAGGACCATTATAGATTCTTTCTAAGAGCAGTTTAATTGTGAGTACATGTAACTGCCAGTTAAGCTTAGAAACTTAGTGGCGATAGAGTTAGACTCCCACAATTTCGGTTAAAGTCCCAGCTGTACCCATAAGGTCCTGTTTCATAGCAAAGAGGAGTCTGGAAGAGAAGGTGTTAACTTGTTTGGAGATTATGTAAAACGCACTTGAAAATATAAAGTAAAATACCCTTCATGCATTACTTGTATCTTTCAGAATTCTGACACAGACTCCAAGGATGGATTGATAAAGTCGCAAGACCAGTCAGCGAATGTGAATGCAAATGGGCAAACAGTTCTTTTCTATTACTGCCTCCTAGGCTGTGCTCCTGTGTCTGCTGGATTTATTCCCCGTCCTGGAGAAAGGCCTGCACTGGAAAGGAGGTGCCGCTCGACCCACCACACACTGCGATGAGGTGCTGCGGTTGATCCTGACCCACATGGAGCCGGAACACCGCCTTCTCTTACGCAGGACCTATGCGAGAAACCTCCCAGCGTTTGTGAAGAGGTGAGTGCCCGGGCTGCTGGTCTGGCCTGCTCTTCAAGTTCATCTCCTTGGTGCCACCTTTTCTCTTTACTTTTTAGGTTGGGGATCCTAACTGTCCGGCACTTGAAGAGGCTGGAGCGAGTCATCGTTAGTTATCTGGAGGTTTATGACGGGCCAGAGGAGGAGGCTAGATTGAAGATATTGGAAACTCTGAAACTTCTCATGCAGTGTGCATGGCCCAGGTAAAGCAGCCAAGCAGGCAGGTGCGCCAAGAGGGACAGAGCTCCACCAGTTTTCTCTCCCGGGCTCGCCCATGTGTACTTTCAGTACAGTCTTAAGGACATGCCTTGTATTTGAATATTTCCCATGCTTACATTTCTATTAGGTTTTGAACTGAGGAAGTCACATTGAAAAGGTAAAATATACCCATTGTTACTGTAGGGGTACATCTCTCTAGATTTTTTTTTTTTTTTTAATTTTATTTATTTCTTTGACAGAGACAGATCACAAGTAGGCAGAGAGGCAGGCAGAGGGAGAGGGGGAATCAGGCTCCCCGCTGAGCAGAGAGCCCGATGCGGGGCTCGATCCCAGGACCCTAAGATCATGACCTGAGCCGAAGGCAGAGGCTTTAAACCACTGAGCCACCCAGGCACCCAATCTCTCTAGATTTATAATGCATATCAGAATTTCAAAGGCCGCTTAGAAGTGCTACGGTAGACACACTTAACTTTGTTCACCCTAAGAGTTTTTTAAATCTGAAAGTAGAAAACTTCATTGCACATTACTGAACACTTGCCGAGCAGTAACCAGGATGAATGAATTAGGATGAATGAGTCCTAATTGAGGATATGATTGCTTAGAAAGCATTCCAACTCCTGCTGGAGATTGGGGTCTGAACAAAAAACTGGAACCCAAACATGTTTTGTCAACAAACACTTTCTTGCTGGACAACAAAGTTCAGTTCACCTAGAGTCCAGTGTTTCAACATCTGTATCTTTTCTGAACTGTAGTTTTTACTTTTAGTTACATCTGTAACTGGACTGCCTTTGTTCACTTCCGGTCTTTCTCCCCTACTGAACTATAAGCCCACTCTGGGATATGGAGTATACAGAAGTTTACTCAGTACCTGGTTATTAAATACACCAGTATCAGAAGAATGAATGGACTGGAACAGACTGTGAATGGATGAACGAAACCGATTCCAGTTAATGCTGCCCGGCCTTTAAAGAGCAGACTAAGCGCCCAAGTCAAGATTGGCAGGCCTAAGTGGGAAGCTTAGAAGATGATATATTATGTGGAAGGAGGGGGGCTGGGGAGTGGGAAACAGCAGGTTTTATGTTGCGGACAGGTAGGAGAGCTGAGCAGCAAACAATGTAGGAAACCACTTAACATTTATTAGGTGAAGAGATGCAGACTGTTATTCTCCCAGTCACATTTCTGTCCAGAGATACAGTTTAGTTTGCATATTTCCCACTACAAATTATTTTTCAGCTCTGATTAAGGCTTTTAAGGTTTTTTTATTATTAAAAGAAGTACATACAATTAATCATTTAAAAGTGGACTCAGAAAAAAAAATAAGTGGACTCAGTGACATTAATTACCTTCACAGTTTTGTACAACCATCACCACTATAGTTTTCCAGAACTTTTTTTTAATCAAGATAAAAACCTTCAGAAAGACTAGTAAGTTGAAGTAAATATGCTGGGCTTAAGTGATGGTAAGCCAGGATCTGAACTAAATGACAGAAGATTCCAATTGACATTGAGGTCCCAGGTCCCAGAAACCAAGCTTATTTCTCCCACTTTAACTTCCAGGCCCAAGACTGCATAAAAGTTTAAGTACTGTGGACCATTTCCTCTTGGCCCAAAGTCTAAGCCCCTGGTAAGGGGAGATCCCACTTCTCCCTTTTCAGGAGGGATGACTTCTTTATAGTAGAACTAGGTTCTGGAAGGGAGGAAGGTATTCTTAGGCAGAGTGTGTGTATGAGTACACACTACACTGCAGGGAAAAAAGAGGGCTTGAAGTTAAGAAATCTGGTATCTGGCCTCTCGTTCTGCTTCTGGCTCCATGGTCTTTAAGTCATTGAGGAAATGAAGGCCTAGATGGCCTTTGGAATCTGCTTTAATATCCTGATTTAGAGTATGAACATAACTTTTTCTTTTTGATTCCAGAATTTCCTGTAGACTTGTGGTCTTGCTGAAGGCTCTTCTAAAACTGATATGCGATGTAGCAAGGGATCCAAATCTTACACCTGAGCCTGTTAAGAATGCCTTATTAGAGGAAGCCACAGATTGCCTGATTCTCCTGGACCACTGTTCTCAAGGACAGGTGAAGGTAGGAGAGTCTGTATCTGGTCCTTAAGTAATTCCTGTAACTGTTCACATGCCTGACCGTCTGTAAATGAACATGGAAGGTTCAGATCCCCACCTTGGAGACCGCTACCCTTCAACAGGGGGTTGATTAACACCTTAGTCTTATTTTAAAGCTATTCAGAACTATTTAGACCAAAAGGCAAGTGGGTTAGGAGAGGTCTCTGGGGGAGAAGACAGAAAATGTGCAAAATATTAAGTTTATAAAACTTAAGTTCTATTTTAGTCATCTGAATTTTTTTTTAAATGATGAAATAGTGAGCTGTAAGCCACCAAGGAGTGATATAAGTAGAGTGATTCAGATCCCAAAAATGTTTCTAGTTTTTCCGGGGCAACTGTATTTTTCCATATTCTTATTTATTCATATGGGAATTCTTCCTTTAGTTTCACGTTCCACAAAAGTTAACTTTTCAGCGCTAAAGCACATAATAACTATGTGTGTATTTATATATATTTAATAAACTATAGCCTCATTTCTTCCCCCATTTAATCTTCCCCAGAAATCTTCAATTTAAAGTTATAAAACAGCATGAGAAGAAATTCATATCCTAAAAATATTTAGAAATATTATTTGTTGTTTTACTAGTTTATTCAAATAACTTTGTGTCGGTTTTCATGTCAGGCAGTTTTCGAGCCCTGAATCCGATCTAATTTGCATGGGCTGGTATTAACCTGCTTCCTCCTGAGCCAGCAGGACACATGCACGCCAACACATTTTAACGTAACACCTGTTCCATGAACTGCTCTCTAGTCTCCTTTCTTCATTCATTCCTTGAGTATGGTACCAAGAAAGAAGAACCAAGGTAAAAGGAAAAGTAGCAAAAAAAAAATCAAAGCCTATCTGGTTTCATGTTGCAGGGTCTCCTGGCCAAAATTCTCCAAAGCTGTGAAGACAGCAAGGTGCAGAACTGTATCAGAAAAGTGCAACAGGTGTCTGAAGGCGCATCCTACGACAGAAATTAAATTTCTCGTACTTTTAAAGTAGGAAGGCTTTTCTTCTTGTTCCAACTGTGTAAACAGAATGATTTTAGAAAAAAGGTATTTTCATACTAAACATTATAATTTAGACCTTCTTCTTCCTACTTTTATTCCCACAGAAGTAGGGAAGAGAGAACAAGAAAAAAAATGAAGTCTGGACATTTCTAAATAAAGTTGTGGGGTGGGGGGAGAACGCCAAGGAAACGGGCGGATAGCATTTAAAATTTAGAAATATTTACACCCACAAATTCATCTGTTAAGCTTCTTGGGCTCAAGCTGTTACTTCAAAGCATATGCCAATGCTATAAAAATACTCTGTTCACAACTTAAGACTTCCTTCACTTTCTCCCAGATTTCCTGCCCCACAGAAGTAGCATAAATATTAAAAACACAAATATTGTGTTCAATGCCATATGAAAGAGCAAAAACTGGAGGTGTGTACATGTTTATGGTAAAAGAAAGGAGGATGTTGACAATGTTCAGTCCTGTTCATAAATGCCTGGGGCAAAGTCACGTTGTTTTGGCCTTGGCCGCAGGCTCTGTCTCCTCCTCATACTCTATCTCCACATAGGCTCTCTTTCTCCGCAAGGGTCCTTTCAAGGGTGTTTTGCCTTTATATCTGGCATCAAGGGCCTTTTCTTCCTCCACAGAGGATTTATCATCCTGATCTTCATCACTGCTGGCATCCAGTTTATCCATATCCTGATATGGGGAGGAAAAGAAAAGAGAAAATGCTAGATTTATGGCCCAGATTCCTTTCCCTGCACTCTTAATTTAGAACCAGAAAATTTATCTGCCTGTGTGTTCAGAAACCTTTTCCCCGAAGGCCCAAAATCTCACCTCAAAATCACTTATGTCACTCTCATCCACCTCATCATCTTCCACAAACTCTCTCTTGCCCATATCCTAAAATAAAACATAACTGTTAAGTTCAAAATACAGAATGAAAATTCCGCTTACATGTCCAGTACTATTGTTTGATAAGTAAGTGCATAAACAACGGACGGATTCATGGTCTACTTAGTAGGCTCAACCAAAATCTACTTACTTCCAAGCTCAGTACTTCTGATTTAAAAACATTTCAGGGACATCAATTCTCATGCCTAATACAAATTATTAGAAGTAAAACATCCTCATTTTAATTTGTTAGAAAAATCAGTTTATAGATAGAGCTTTACAAACATTATGTACATTTAATTAAACCTATTTTAATTTCAAAAATCAAAAAAGGGTTACTACCAGGAAAAGTACACCTATGTGCCTCTGTGAATGTTCCATGTGATTAAGCAACTACTTGTTAAATCTGGCCTTTTCCTAAAAATGCAATCATTCAAGTACCTCCCTCATATTAATAGTGAAATTAAATCCTATATAAATTTCGGTAGTTTTCTTTTTTTTTCTTTTTTTTTTTTAAATTTATTTATTTGACAGACAGAGATCACAAGCAGGCAGAGAGAGAGGAGGAAGCAGGCTCCCCGCCGAGCAGAGAGCCCAATGCGGGGCTCGATCCCAGGACCCTGAGATCATGACCTGAGCCGAAGGCAGCGGCTTAACCCACTGAGCCACCCAGGCGCCCCAATTTCGGTAGTTTTCTTAATGGTATATTCTATCAGCTAGGAAGGATTCTTCATTTGTCCCCTAGCAGGAAAAGTTTTAGAATTCCAATTAGCAAAACTGTCAATGTGTAGTTTGTTGGCTGAGTTAAAATTAACCTCACGATAGAAGAAAATGACCAAAGAATTATTTTTGGTTAGGGGAATGAAAATGATATTGTCTCTCAAGTACATGTAAAGAGATCTAGTTCTACAGATTCCTGCTCGCTGAAGCAAAAATAAACAAACAAGGCTTACTTCTTCATCTTCATCATCTTTTTCCTCAGAATCCGAAGAGCCACTGTCTGCCTCCTGCTGTTCCAGGGCCCTGTCGAAGGCGTGAATGGGGAAGTTGTAGATGTCGCCATACTGAAGAACAGAAACACCCGGCTTTAATGACATCTCAGTCTTACACTTGAAGTCCACGTCCAATAAGCATATTCCTCAGTGATCAAATGAGAATACTTAACTTGATACATAGTAGTATTTCTGTATTAATTTCAAGCCTAGAATCAACAATGTCTTTAAAAACACATTTTAAATAATCAGTGGTTAAAGTCAAATGGGTAACTTCCATGAAGAATAGAAGCACATCACTGAAAACGTAGTAGTGTGTAAAACCCATGGGTTAGAACACATGTAAATTTGCTGACAGACAGCAAATAATAAGGGAAAAGTAAGTTTTATTCATTTTTGTCTTGTAAATGACACTAATTTTTAAAGAGAGAACTAAAAACTCATTTTAAAGGGCCTAAGATGACTAGGGTAGTGTGCAGGAGGATCAAGACTGCCTTTTATACAGAGATCTGGACCTGTTGCACTGTGAACAGGACTGGCAGTTCGGTGCAGAGAGAAAGGTCTCTCACACTGAATGGAGTGTCAGGGGTGACCAGCACACTTCATGCATTTGTGTCAACCAAATGAAATGGGGAAGCCAAGGCCTATATATTTGTTCTATTCCAGGAACAAAATTAAAGTGAAGATCTTTCCAGCATCTTCGAAAATAAAACACATTTCTGTTTCCCAGCATGATTACTATTGGTCTGAAAAACAGTATTTTATCCCAAGGTTCGTAGCTTTCTCACCGTATCTTGTTTCAGTCTCTCCAGCAATTCCTTTTCAATAGCATTATCCAGCTGAGCTGCTATTAATGCCTTTTCCTGTAACAGAAAAATTTGAGTAAATCCATTTACTTCATTAATACTCATTTTTCAGCCTGTAGAAGTGGAAGAAACAGAGTTTTTATTTTAAAAAATCACTTTTTCCCACTCTTGCTATCACCAGGATTCATGCCTCTCCAGCCAGATATATTCCTGCCTTTAAACCTTGGGAACCTTTTAATTTTAAAAGTTCCAGTGGTTTTATAAATAGCATTCTGAATTAAATTCTAACAAAGCCTTTCATAGATCTACAAAGCATGCAGGTCTATATACATTTAAGTGTCTTAGAAAATGAGCAATCCTGAGGCGCCTGGGTGGCTCAGTTGTGTCTGCCTTCAGCTCAGGGCATGATCCCAGGGTCCTGGGATCAAGCCCCGAACTGGCTCCCTGCTCAGCAGGGAGTCTGTTTCCTCCTCTCCCCTGCTTTTTCACCCTCTGTCAAATAAATAAATCTTAAAAAAACAAAAAAAAATGAGCAATCCTTAAACAGATTTTGTAAAAGCTGAGAAAGGGAAATAGAGACTTACGCTTTTACTAAAACCATGCTAAATTCCATGTGACTGACAAAAATAGATTAAAAATCTCTTCCTCCAGTGATCTCATAAAAAACCATACATAGTATCAACCTGTAGCACCCACAATCAAAACATAAAAATCTAACCTCAGTCTATCTTTCTCGCCTAAGTCTGCATTAACTTAATATAAATATCATAAAAGATTTTAAAAGTCTTACATACTGACGCTTTGTTGGAATGATGTACAGTGTGCAGGATAAAATACAGGGAGACTGGGGCACGTGGTCAGTTACAAGGCTATCATGCACTGTTCTCTAAAGTGGGTGCTCACACCTCAAGGCTGATCCACTGACATGTAGGCAGAAAATAGATGAAATTGCTGTGTATGTACTTTTTCTTTAAAAATTAAGTGTTCTATTTCTTTATGAATACTAGCATTGATGCCTTAACTCTGGCTATAAAGCAGATAGCTGTGCGTGAGACAGGAAGATAACCAGAGGGAAAAATACTGTAGAGTCTGAATGTGGGAATCTCACTACTTTATTCACATGATTATAGCACGCATATGCAGTTGGATGTTTGCTTAAATGGATTTACAGATTATCGAACAGTTTGCAATACCATCGGAGATTATAAAGTTAAGCTATTTGTTTAGTACTTAAAAAGAGTTGTACAACTTAGAGTTATGTATTTTTCACAAAAAAATGTTCCAAATTTTCCAAGATGACAAATGACTGTAATATGTAACAATAGAAGCTTTAAAAAATAAATACACTTATTCTATTCTTTCAAGAGAAAAGCGTATTTTAACAGTGAGTCTAAAATGTTTTTAAACTTGTTCTGTGGATAGAACATTTGAAAAAGAAAAGTGATTACATCTATAAGTGACATTGTTAAAACCTACGTCTCCCACAAATGCAGCAAATCACACTCAAACAATCTGGAAACATAATCTTCCAGCACGTTTAAAAATCTTCCAAACTGACATTTTTCAGAAGGCTTCAAACTTACTTGGTGGAAGGAGAACAACTTAATTTCCTCTGAAAGGCTTGCAAGAACAACTGTTTAGCCATCAGGGAAGAAGCAAACTAGCTATATCTGAATAAAAACCTCTACAAAACTGCTGAAGAAGAATGAAAAATGCGGAGCCAGTACTTAACGCAAACCATCAACAATGCACTTTTTTTTTTTTAAGATTTTATTTATTTATTTATTTGACAGACAGAGATCACAAGTAGGCGGAGAGGCAGGCAGAGAGAGAGGGGAAGCAGGCTCCCCGCCGAGCAGAGAGCCCGATGCGGGGCTCGATCCCAGGACTCTGGGATCATGACCTGAGCGAAAGGCAGAGGCTTAAGCCACTGAGCCACCCAGGTGCCCCAACAATGCACTTCTTGATGTGTCTCTGAGGTACCTATCAGTCACGAGAGCCCTTAATTAAAAACAAATTCCTTCTCAGCGAAGAACCAGACCTTCATTTCACTATATCAATAGTAGGTATGTCAGTTATATACCTATTAGTGCAAGTACACGTGTATAATCTCATAAGTAATACAGGGGGCATATGTTCAAAGATTTCTTTGGTGAGGAATCAGAACAGTTCGGAGATGAATGTTATAATAGCTCTGAAGTCCAAAACTCTGTATGAGTAACAGGAACAAAAGCACCAAATTATTATCGTGATTTCTTGATAGACCATGACAAATGATCAGGGAAATGTCTGTTGGTAGAGGGGAAGTATGCAGAGCAAATACCCAGAATAACTGAAAATTTGAACTTGTAAGGAAGAGCTAATTCCTAGGTCTTGAAAAGCAGAAGAAAAGTCAACTTGAATGAGGTACCAGTGATGTGGGACAGGCAGACTTGCTCTCTGTGACAAAGGTTGGTGATTCCTGACTAGATTTTTCCCAGGATAGCATGGTAGTACCACCAGTATATATTAATCTGGTAACAAAGCCACCCAGTTGATCTCAAAGAAACAATCCCAGTCAATTCCTTAAAACCAATTTCAAAATCCAAAACACTGAATTTAGTGGTCTAATAATGAACTGAACTGACAAGTCTCCTTAAAAAGTTTTTTGACATTCCATTTAGTGTGACTCTTTTTATATTTCATTGCAGAGCTGCTGGTGCATCAGATTAGAATGCTCAAACCCTGGGGACCCAAATTACTAATGAAAGAGGAGAAATAACCACTAACCCCACAGAAATACAAATGTGACAGAACAGTATAAAAACCTACATGCTGGGGCGCCTGGGTGGCACGGTGGGTTAAAGCCTCTGCCTTCAGTTCAAGTCATGATCCCAGAGTCCTGGGATCGAGCCCCACATTGGGCTCTCTGCTCGGCGAGGAGCCTGCTTCCTCCTCTCTCTCTGCCTGCCTCTCTGCCTACTTGTGATCTCTGTCTGTCAAATAAATAAATAAAATCTTAAAAAAAATTAAAAATAAAAACTTATATGCCAACATTTGGACAACTTAGTATGAAATGGATAAATTTCTAGAAATCTATAGCCCATCAAAACTAAAACAAGACGAAACAGAAAATTTGAACAGACGAATTATCAGCAATGAAACTGAAGAAATAATCAAAATGTTCCACAAAACTGAAGTCCAAGCCCAGATGGCTTCATAGGCAAATTCTATCAAACATTTAAAGAAGAGTTAATACCCATTCTGAAACTTTTCCAAAAACTGTAAGAGGAAGGAAAACTGCTAAATTCATTCTATGAGGCCAATAATACCCTGATACCAAAACCAGAAAAAGACACCACAAAAAAAGAGAACTAAAGGCCAATATCTCTCATGAATACAGATGCAAAAATCATCAAGATACTAGCAAACCGAATCCAACAATATATTAAAAAAAATCATATACCATGATCAAGTGGGATTTATTTCCAGGATGCGAGGGTGGTTCAATATTCACAAAACAATCAACGTGATAAATCACATCTTTCAGAGAAAGGATAAAGACCACAGGATCATTTCAACAGATGCAGTAAAAGCAGTTCACAGAGTACAATATCCACTCTCTCTCTCTCGCTCTCTCTCTCTTTTTTTTAAGATTTTATTTATTTGACAGAGATCACAAGTAGGCAGAGAGGCAGGTGCGGCAGCGGGGTGGGGTGGAGGTGGGGGAGCAGGACCCCTGCTGAGCTGAGAGCCTGATGCGGGGCTTGATCCCAGGACCCTAAGATCATGACCTGAGCTGAAGGCAGAGGCTTAAACCACTGAGCTACCCAGGCGCCCCACAACATTCATTCTTGATAAAAACTCTGCAAAGTAGGTCTAGAGGGGACACAGCTCAACATAATACAGTCCTTATATGAAATATCTATAGCCAAAATCATCCTCAATGGGGAAAGAGCTTTTCCCCTATTGTCAAGAACTCGTCAGGGATGTCCACTCACCACTTTTCTTTAACATAGTACTGGAAGTCCTACCACAGCAATCAGACAATACAAAGAAATACAAGGCTTCCAAACTGGTAAAGAAGAGATTAAACTGGGAAGACATTCCATTCCATGTTCAAGGGATGGAAGAGCAAATACTATTAAAATGTCCATAGTACCCAAAGCAATCCACACATTAAATGCAATCTCTATCAAAAACACCCTAAAATTTTTATGGAACCACAAAAAACCTTGAATAGGCAAAGCAAACTTGAAAAAAGAAAAACAGAACTGGAGGTATCCCAGTTCCAGGTTTGGTTATATTACAAAGTGGTAGTAATTAAAACATGATGGTACTGGCATAAAAAGAGACACATAAATCAATGGAACAGAAAACCCAGAAATAAACTCACAATTACACGGTCAATTAATCTTTCACAAAGGAGGAATGAATATACAGTGGGAAAAAGGATCTTCAACAAATAGTGTTGGGAAAACTGGACAGACACAGGCAAAAGAATGAAACAGGACCACTTCCTTTCACCATATACAAATATAAACTCAAAATAGATTAAAGAGCTAAATAGGAGACCCAAAACCATAAAAATCCTTGAAGAGCGTACGGGGTCATCTCTCTGATATCCACCATAGCAACATTTTTCTAGATATGTGTCCTGAGAAAAGGGAAATAAGGGCAAAAATAAACTATTGAGACTGTATCAAAATAAAGTTTGTGCACAGCAAAGGAAACAATCAACACAACTAAAAGGCAACCTACTGAATGGGTTAAAGTATTTGCAAATGATGTATCTGACAAAGGGTTCATATCCAAGGTATATAAAGAAGTGATACAAAACTCAATACCCAAAATACAAATAAGCGAATTTAAAAATGGGTAGAGGACATGAACAAACATTTCTCCAAAGACGACACCCAGACGGCCAACAGACACATGAAAGGATGCTCAGCATCACTCGTCATCAGGGAGATGCAAGTCAAAACTACAATGAGGTATAACTTCACACCTGACAGAATGGCTAAAATCAACAACACAAGAAACTGTAGCAAATGTTGGTGAGGACGTGGAGCAAAAGAAACCCTCCTGCACTGTTAGTGCGAATGCGAACTGGGGCAGCCACTGTAGAACAGTGCGGAGGTTTCTCAGAAAGTTAAAAATAGAACTACCCTATGAGCCAGGCATCGTATACTGGCTATTTACTCAAAAAATACCAAAACACTTTAATTCAAAGGGATGCACGCACCCCTGTTTCCTGCAGCATTATTCCCAACAGCCAAAGTGTGGGAAGAGCCCAAGTGTCCACGGACCGATGAATGGATACAGAAGCGTATATATATGGTACAATGGAATAAATTACTCAGCCATAAAAAAAAAAAAAAAACACAACATCTTGCCATCTGCAACGACATGGATAGAGTATATAAGGCTAAATGAAATAAGTCAGAAAAGACAAATACCAAAGGTTTCACTCCTTATGTGGAGTTTAAGAAACAAAACAAGAAAAGGAAAAACAAGTCAAAAAGACAAACCAAGAAACAGTCTCTTAACTATAGAAAACAGATGGTTACCAGAGGGGAGGTGGGTGGGAAGATGGGGGAAATAGGGATTGGGAATTAAAGAGGCTTACCATGCTGGGTCGGGGGGGCAGGGGGTGGAGAGAAAAAAAGAAAGAAGAATGCTCAAACCCTGCCGAGAGTAGTACGTGATGTGCCAGAAAGGCAACATACCAAAGGTCTGATTTCTGAAACATTTAATTGCAAGAATTTCAGACAAGGTATTCCTTCTGTTCTCCGTTATATATATATATCCCCAAGAACCCTTATTTTAACCTGCCTTGAAAGTCGTAATCTTAAAATATGAATATCCGACATCTTACACAACTAATACAACAGTATTAGCCATTAGTGAACCCAAGGTCTGAACAGTTCATAGACAACAGTGACTGAATCTTTTTCATGATCCCTACTACACACCCCTACCCTCAGTGAGAATACAGAAGCTATGAATACCAAAATGATAAGTTACCTCTCTTCTTTTTTCCCTCCGTTCCACTTTCTTACTCAAGGGAACAAGTTTCCTCCTACGGAAAATAAAACACATTATCAGAAAACCCAAGTGTACACTCTGTGTGTTCCTTTAAAAAAAAAAAGAGAGAAGAGGGGCGCCTGGGTTACTTGGTTAGGTTAAGTGTCTGCCTTTGGCTCAGGTCATGATACCAGGGTCCTGGGATCGAGTCCCATGTGGGGCTCTTTGCTCAGCAGGGAGCCCACTTCTCCCTCTCCCTGCTATTCTCCCTGCTTGTGCGCTCACGGGCTCTCTCTCTCCAACAAATACATAAATAAAATCTTTTAAAAAAATAAGAAAAAAGGATTGGAGTTGATTTTGTAGGACTCAGCTCCATCTAGACAAGATTATATATTTAACAATTTTCTAAGTATTTAATGCTAGAAAAAGTCAGACATTTTCACATATTTTTTTTTTTAAGATTTTTTATTTATTTATTTGACAGAGAGATCACAAGCAGGCAGAGAGGCAGGCAGAGAGAGAGGAGGAAGCAGGCTCCCTGCTGAGCAGAGAGCCCGATGCGGGGCTCGATCCCAGGACCCTGAGATCATGACCCGAGCCGAAGGCAGCGGCTCAACCCACTGAGCCACCCAGGCGCCCCATTCACATGTGTTTTAATGTGTATTTCACTTTTTGTTTTCTGTAGGCATTCTGAGACTTCTGAGGGCATTCACTATGCCAAGATTAATGCTTCAGTTAACAAGGAAAAAGAATTTTTTTAAGAAAACTGCCATCTTTAGCTTTCTCTGTAGCTCACAATGAAAAATTATTAGGATCCATCACTCCTTAGGAAAATATTCAATTAATTCTGTGGATTTCATATTATTTTTAAAAATTAGTTTTCAGTAAACTCAAAGTTCTTTTATTCTTATTGATCCAAAATTTTTAGGTCATTACTAGAGATTTCATAATCTCTCATTTTTCTAACATGACCCATGGAAAAACAGACTTAAAAAATAAATATAATAAAAGAATCATCTAAATACTTACTGTCGCTTTAGTGTAAGTTTTCTAATTCGAATTAGGTACTGGGTGATCTTGGTGAATCTCTGCTTACACTTGTGTCGAATAAAACGGGGCCAGTAAATTAGATTTTCATCTATTTGCTCCAGTGCTTTCTCATAGTTTTTATGAAGCCGCACCTACCAAACAGAAAAAGAAAGCTTCAAGAGTTAAGAGTAAATTATGAGATCTTCACTGCTATGATACCCATGGGGCCTAATGAGGTTGGCTTCAAAAGCTTAATCCAGGGGCGCCCAGGTGGCTCAGCTGGTGAAGCATTTGACTCCTGATTTTGGCTCAGGTCATGATCTCAGGGTCCTGGGATCAAGCCCTGTGTTGGGCTCTGTGCTCAATAGGGAGTCTGCTTCACCCACTCCCCACTTCCAGGATTGCACTCTCTCTCTCTCTCTCATAAACAAATAAATCTTAATTAAATGTTTATTACAGCTATGGTCAAGGAAGACAAAAAAGCATGTGGCATTTTCGCTCTTAATGATCATTGTAATTTTTTGTCCCAAGTCTTACCCGTTCCCAGAGACGCCTAGGAAAAGCTGCTCGCTCTATAACCTTCATATACAAGTAGCACTGTCCTGCAGGATAAAGTAAATGCCATTAGTATTATTTACAGAGAGGCTAGGGAACATCCTTTTAAAAGCTGCTGAATAGTTCTCATGGAAGTTAAAACGAAGGACTTACCTTTCTCTTCTTTGATGGTGGCATACTGACTGTTTGCCAGAGGACAAGACGACCGATTACATAGTCCAGTCAGGCTATATTCATTTCTGCAAAAACTCTGAGTCTTCGTTCTACAAAGGGAGGAAAAGAGCAAAAGTTATAAAATGGGCTACCAAGAGGGCAACTGAAGGAATCTTTAAGTTGCAAATCTAGACTCACCTTATTTTAAAGGAACAAAACTGCTTGTTTCCTAGTGTATCCCAGATAACCTACAAGACAAAGAAAAAAACCCATTTCAGTTGCTCTGACCCAACAGATGGGAATATTAAGTCAAGAAAACAATGCGCTGGTTTACTGAGGAAGTCTCAAAAAGAGTCTGAGGAATGAGAGGAAGAAATGCTTTGTAAAATAGTCTATTTTCTAAGAACACAGGTTCTTGTAGAAAAAGTAAATACAAATTGGCAATAACCATCACCCCAAGACCCATAGATAAAATTTCATTAGAATTTTATGTATATTTTTGAATTTTTTCTATACACATACTTTCCACCAACCAGTATGCCTATATCTTTAACAAAAATGAGATGTATATGTATTTTGTAACATTCCTTTTTTTCTTAATATGTTCATTATCTATTGTAAAAGGCTGCAGAGCACTAGATTGCTGGATATACGTACCATAATTTGATCTTATCTGGCAAAAAAAATCATCCACTGGGGCGCCTGGATGGCTCAGTGAGTTAAGGCCTCTGCCTTTGGCTCAGGTCATGGTCTCAGGGTCTTGGGATCAATCCCCGCATCCAGCTCTCTGCTCAGGAGGGAACCTGCTTCCCCCCACCCCACACCGCCTGCCTCTCTGCCAACTTGTAATCTTTGTCTGTCAAATAAATAAATAAAATCTTAAAAAAAAAGAAAATAATCTACTGCTATCTTCTACTAATGTGTTCTTTATTCTTTCAGCATTGATTGTATATTTAATTTATTAAGGCACTGATATCTCTTAAGTCCTGACACACAGGAGGTACTGAAGTATTTGTTGAATCAAGGAAGGTAGAATCCTTGAACAGTTTTATCTATCTACTTGGGGGAAAGCACAAATCACCAGTCTAAGGGCCTCAAAAGAAGTTCATCAGAGCCTTTGAGTGAGCTGTGCTAAGGAACTGGGAAAGGCTTTAAAGAAGTTAAAGCAGTCAAAGCCCAAAACATAAATGTTAACAAACAGAGTAACATTTTTGGAATTTTACAGGATGTGTGTTTGGTGGGGGATGGCAGGAAACAGGTGAGAGGAACTCAAACTGGGAAAGTAGCTCATTCTAGCTTGTGGCTTTACATATCATCTTAAGTTGATGACTCCCAAATTGTCATCTCCTGGTCAAACTTCTCTCCCCAGAGGAAGTATATACACATCCAACCATCAACCTGACATCTCCACTTGGATGCTTGAAAGGCACGACACACATTAACGACCAAATGAAGCTCTCAATTCCACATCTCTCAAAATACTGTTTTCCTTCCTGCTCTCCACAAATATAACCACCACTGAATCACTTGTCCAAATCCAAAAATCCTTTGATTTCTCCTTTTCCCTTTTCACTGAAGGGATCATGTTGTGTTTTCAGTTACACCGATAACACAGATCTCAAATTCATCCCCTTCTTTTCCTCTCTCCCATTACTACCTTGGTTGAAACAACTTTCAACATATTCTAATCTCCTTGCTTTCATTCTTCCTCTCCTTCAAAAGCCTCTCACATAACTACACAATTTTTCACAAAATAAGTCAGATGTTATTTCCCATTAGAAGCCCTAAAAATACTTCCTACAAGACTCTACATGTTCTTGTCATGCAAGCATACCCAACTTCATTACCTCTCCCACTTCCCGTGATTCCTATAGCACAGGTCACACTGGTATTCCTGAGTATACTCCTCCTCTCTTACCTCCAGATCTTTGCATTTTACTGTTCCCATTGCCTGGATTTTTGGCTTTTCCCTCAGCCCCTCAATAACGGCTCATTCTCATCTTTTAGATGTCAGCTCAAACGTCTTCCACTCAAGAAACCTTCCCAGATCAGCTTTGTCTGAAGTAATCTCTGCTAATTACTCTCTACTTCATCAACCTTGGTCTTTCTTTCACAGTATTATTACACAGTACAGTGGTTTTCAATTTGTTCACGTGTTTACCATCTGTCTCCCCCACCGGAGTGCTCCAGGAAAACAGAGGTCTTTTGTTTGCTTATTAAAAACGAAATCTCCAGTAATTACCACAGTGCTTGGCACACCGTAAGCACTTTTATATTTCTCATACATGTAACTAAATAAATGAATCGAGTATGCTTCCAAAAAAATTACGACTTAGGCAGACAATGAAGCCAATGTAAAAAAAAAAAAACCTAACACGGAAAAAGCAGATTTAAAAGTAACATACACGTGGAAGAAAGGGATCCTTAAATTTCATATCCAAACTTGACCATACCATCCCCCACCTCCCCCCACCCGCGCCTGCCTCCACGTCCACACCACAGGCAAGCCCCTCATTGCTGGGTACCACAGACTGGAAGCCAACCCTGTGGACTGAAGTGACGGTGTTCCACACCCTTCACTCAGATAAGGCTGCGGGCTGGGGATCCCGGGTAGACACGTGAGAGCCCCCACGCTCGGAAATCGCGGTTCTGGAAGCTTCGGTTCTGTAGCAACGAGGCTAATCGCATGGGCCAGCTGAGTATGTGGTCTCCGAGTCTCCTAAAGCAGGAGAACCCAGGTGGCAGAGAAACACGACACTCACATCATCCGACTGCATGGCGTCCGCGGTTCAGCGTGCAAAGCCCGGCCAAATCTAGGGAGCAGCCATGCTTCTTCCGGAAAATCACTTCCGGAGAGCCTAGCCTCACCTATCGCGAGAGTTTTGACTTCTCGGGTTTGCCTAGCGCCTCTTGGCGGCGTAACTTTCGCGTGCACCTCTTGTCCACCGCCACGTCCCGTGCGTCTCCGCTAGCTCGCACCGCCCGCGTCCTGTCCCGGGTCTCGCTCTGAGACTGTAAACCGGGTGAGCGGCCCCCTGCCACTCCGCCCTCCTGGGCGTGCCCTTGGCTTTAGCACGGCCTATGACAGCGCATGAGGATTGGTTGGCCCACGCCGGCGGCGAGCCCTGTCCCGGGAAAGCGCGGTCTCCCGCCCTTAGCTTCTAGCCGCCAGGGCTGTGGGGCTCGAACTCGGTCCTTCTTCAACTGAGTCCCTCGCTTCCGCACTCACTTCCCCTCACTTAACCCTGCAGACACTGTGGTTTGGTGTGGCATTGGGTCTTGACTTTTGAAATTCATGGATTAGATAACATTAAAAGCAGAAGATATTTGGAGAATTAACAGAGTTGTCCCCTCTTTTTATTTTGACAGGAAAAAGAAGACGTTTAGGAGCTCGCACCGTTTTTCTAAAGAAAGGCCAGTTTCATACCGAGAGTAAAAAAGGCACAATCTCGGAATAAGGGTGGGCACTTAATTTGCATATCACATTATAAAATAATTAGGTTTATCGTAAGTAATGTAATTTTGTTGCATGCAGATAAAAACTATGAATTAGAACCACCCGGTTGGAGGGGTGGCTGGGTGGTTCAGTCAGCTAGGCTGAGGCTTAACTCTTGTTAACTAAGGACTCGGGTCATGATCTCAGGGTCCTGGGATCCAGCCCCTCTTGCTCACCAGGGAGCTGGCTTCCGTGTTCTCTTTACCTTTCCCTCCGCCTCTCCCCTCAGCGAGCTCTCTCTCCCTAAAAATAAATAAATACATCTTTTAAAAAAACAAAAAACAAACCCCTTGGAAACCATTGATTTGGCCCTGGTTTTTGGAGCCAAATTTAGGTTATAAAAACCAACTGCTTTTTACAAAGTATTTTGGGGTAAGTCACCCTTTAGCAAACTATCCCACTTGAAAAATGAGGGCATATAAGAACTGGAGGCATGTTAAATGCATAGTTTACATTGCTTCATAAAAAATTGTGATCGTTCTCACTCACCTGCTTGCTTTCCCTGGTTTAACGACCTAGAGGGCAGTCATCACACATACACATGCCCTTTTATGTTAATAAAATCAAGTTTAGAATAATGTGGAAGAGGGGTGCCTGGCTGGCTTAATAGTAGAGCACGGGACTCTTGATCTCCAGGTAGTGAGTTCAGCCCTAACTTGGGCATAGAGATTACTTAAAAAGTAAGTAAAAAGATGAAGCTTCTTAAGAAATAATAAAGTGGAAGAAATCAAAAGCTCGACAATAATCACCACATGTACCACGCCACACTCCCCAAATTGTTTTAAGTAGGGGAAGTGATGTATTTTTCGGTTAGGCTTAGAATAATACTCCTTCCCTGCTCACCACCCACAGGTGAATCCAGTAAATAATTTTTTTAAACTGATTTATTATTGACATTATTAGTTTAAGTAGTACAAAATAATGATCGATATATGTATATGCTGAGATGATCACCTCAGTGAGTCCAGTTAACATCTGTCACTATATAATTGCAATTTTTTTCTAATGATAAGATTACTCTCTTAGCAACTTTTTTTTAAAAATTTTTATTTACTTATTCATTTGCCAGAGACCAGATGAGAAGAGGGAGCAGCAGGAAGAGGGAGAGGTAGGCTCTGCACCAAGGCTGAGCCAGGAGCCTGATGTGAGACTCAGTCCCAGGACCCTGGAATCATGACGTCAGCTGAAGGCAGACACTTAAGCAACTGAGCCACCCAGGCGTTGCTCTTAGCAACTTTCAAATATGTAGTACATACTTTCTTTTTTTTAACTGTAATCACAATCTGCACATTAAATACCTATGACATTTTTAAAAAGGATTTTTAAAATTTATTTTAGAATGCACTCGTATCTGTGCATGCAAGAGAGTGAGAGAGAGAAGGGACTGCAGGGGGAGGGGGAGAGAGAGAATCTGGAGCCCACTCAGCGCTGAGTTCAGAGCCCAGGGCTTGATCTTGTGACCCTGAGATTATGACGGGAGCTGAAATCGAGAGCCAGATGCTTAACCCACTGAGCCACTCAGGTGCCCCACTGTGACATTTTTGTAACTAGAAGGGTGTGCCTTTTGACTGCCTTCACCCATTTCCCCCCTCCCCCAAACATTTTGTTCTCTATTTCTATGAGCTCCATTGTCTTTCTGGTTTTATTTTTATTTTTAAAAAGATTTATTTATGATTTTGAGTGCAGAGGGAAAGAATCTTGAAGCAGACTCCCCGCTGGGTGTGGAACCCAAGGTAGGGCTCAGTGTGGGGCTGAACCTCATGATCCAGAGATCACGACCTGAGCTGAAACCAAGACACTTAAGTGATTTAGCCACCCCGGTGCCCCTGTTTTTGTTTTTGTTTTTTAGTTTTTATTCTACATGGGAGTGAGATCATATGGTATTTGTCCTTTTCTGTCTGACTTAGTTCACTTAGCATAATGCCTCTACGTCCATCACAACACAAATGGCAAGATTCCATTTAAAAAAAATTTTTTTTTATAAAGGTTTTTTTTTTTTTAATTTATTTATTTGACAGTCACAAATCACAAGTAGGCAGAGAGGCAGGTGGGGCGGGGTGGGGGAAGCAGGCTTCCCGCGGAGCAGCGAGCCCGATGTAGGGCTTGATCCCAGGACCATGAGATCATGACCTGAGCTGAAGGCAAAGGCTCAACCCCCTGAGTCACCCAGGCGCCCCGAGATTCCATTTTTAATGACTGAATAATATTCCATTTTTTTTAAGATTTTATTTATTTATTTGTCAGAGAGAGAGAGAGAGGGAGAGAGAGCAAGCACAGGCAGACAGAGCAAGAATGGCAGGCAGAGGCAGAGGGAGAAGCAGGCTCCCTGCTGAGCAAGGAGCCCGATGTGGGACTCGATCCCAGGACACTGGGATCATGACCTGAGCCGAAGGCAGCTGCTTAACCAACTGAGCCACCCAGGCGTCCCTATTCCATTTTTTTTATCCACTCATCAGTTGGTAGACATTTAGGTTCTTACCATATCTTTGGGTGTTGTAAATTATGCTGCAATGAATGTGCGGGTGCATGCCATTAACCCTTCAACAACATGGGTTTGAATTGTGTGGATCCACTTATATGTGAATTTTTTTTTTCAATAAATAAAGTACGTAAAATGTAAAAGTATGTAAAAATATTGTAAATGTATTTTTTTCTTAGGATTTTTAACATTTTTTCCCCTAGCTTAGTTTATAGTAAGAATACAGTAGATGATAAATATGCCAACTATGTAACGGATGGAGGGTTGGTGTGCCCCTAACTCCCACATTGTTCAAAAGTCAACTGTAGGGGTGCCTGGGTGGCTCAGTGGGTTAAAGCCTCTGCCTTAGGCTCATGTCATGATCCCAGGGTCCTGGGATGGAGCCCCGCATCGGGCTCTCTGCTCAGCAGGGAGCTTGCTTCCCTTCCTCGCTCTCTGCCTACTTGTGATCTCTGCCTGTCAAATAAATAAATAAAATCTTAAAAAAAAAAGTTAAAAAAGAAGTCAACTCTGTATCTTTTTTTTTGGAGTTAATATTTCATTTTCTTCAGATAAAAGAAGTGGAATTACTGGGTCATAGGGCAGTACTATTTTTTTTTATTTTTTGAGGAACCTCCACACTGTTTACCATAGTGGCTGCACCAGTTTGCATTCCCACCAGTAGTGCACGGGGAGTCTTTTTTCTTCACAACCTAACCAACACTTTGGTTTCTTGTCTTTTTGATTCTGGTCTTTCTGACTGGTAATGGGGTGATGTCTCATTGTAGTTTTGATTTTTATTTCCCGAGCGATCAGTGATGTTGAACATTTTTTCATGTGTCCCAACATTTTTTTCATGTTGGCCATCTGGATGTCTCCTTTGGAAAACTGTCTATTCAGGTCCTCTGCCCGTTTTTTAATTGGATTGTTTGGTTTTTGGTGTTGAGTTGCATACGTTCTTTATATATTTTGGATATTAACCCCTTTTTGGACATACCATTTGCAAATATCTTCTGCATTTACTAGGTTCCCTTTTTGTTTTGTTGAGGATTTCCTTTGATATGCAAAGCTTTTTATTTTGATGTAGTCCCAGTCTTTATTTTCTGCTTTTGTTTCCCTTGCCTTAGGAGACATCTCCAAAAATGTGTTGCTAAGGGCAGTGTCCAAGAGATCGCTGCTTATGTTTTCTTTCAGGAGTTTTATGGTTTTGGGTCTCATATTTAGGTCTTCAATGCATTTCAAGTTTCTGTTTGTGTATGATGTAAGAAAGTGGTCCATCTTCATTGTTTTGTATGTAGCTGTCCAGTTTTCCCAACACCATATATTGATACAACTGTCTTTGCCCCATGTTATATCCTTGCCTCCTTTGTCATAAATTAATTGACCATATAGGAGTGGGGTTTATTTCTAGGCTTCCTATCCTGTTCCATTGATCTATGTGGCTATTTTTATGCTAATACCATACTGTTTTGGTTACAATAGCTTTTATATCTTGAAATCTGGGATTGTGATATCTCCAGTTTTGTTCTTCTCAAGATTGCTTTGGATACTCCAGGTCTTTTGTGCTTCCACACGAATTTTGGGGTGGATGGATGTAGTAATATATGATTGTTGTGTTAATCTGCATTTCTCTGATGACAAAAGAAGTTAAGCATCTTTTCACATACTTACTGGCCAGATTCTTCTTTGATGGAGTGCTGTGTAAGTCTTTGGTCCCTTCCTTCCCAGAGGAGATTTTTATTAAGTTGCTTTTTTGATTCTTTCTTACCACTTTATAGGCATTCTTGGCTATATCCTTTGGATATGAATTCTTTCTTAAATCTATTGCCAATATTTTCTACTCTGGCTTGTTTTCCCTTCTATCAATAGTGTCGTTGATGAACAGAATCTACTTTCAATGATACCAATTTATCAATCGTTTCCTTTGTGCTTGGTGTTCCTTGAAGTTGACACCATTATTAACAACCTGTTTTTACAGAGAAGTTAATTGAGGTTCTTGGCACTGGAACTCCAGAGGCCAGGACTACAGTGCGGCAGGCTTACGGCAGCGATGACTCCACTTCCTGCGAGTGTGCCCCACATGTAACATGGCTCAGTCGCTGTCTCCTCATATTTTGAGCCCTGGATGCCTTACTTGCCTCAACCTAGCCCTGGCCCTACCAAGGTCTTGAATTACCTAGGGAGTATCACCGCTCTGCAGGCTAGAGCAAAAAAATTCTAATTGGGTTCTCCGAGTTTGGAATTCAGGAGCTTGAACTAAGTTTTATTTCACTGGCAAATGGTCATCCTGCTCCAGCTACGAAACACGGTACCTGATGAAAGGTACTTAGGTCCCCGCTTACCGTGTTCTCAGTTTTCCTGAATAGGTGACTGAATTCGCTTTAGTCCTAGCAGTCTGAGACGCAGGCGGCGTCCCATGACTTACTTAGGAGAATTTCAGGAGCCTCCCAGGAACTTTCAAGAAGCGTGGTGACTCGCAAGTGTGGGGAGGGTCAGATGCTCCTGGGAATCCCTGTGGACTGGATGCTAAGCTGGGCGCCGGCGAAAACCTGGATTAAGGATCGCTGGGCCTGGGCGCGAGGAGAGTTATCCCCCCCTTTCCCGAACCTCCTTTCCGAGTCTTCGCCCCAGCTCAGGCAGGGCGCAAACTGGAAGTGGAAAACCGCGGGGCTGCCGGCGGCCCTGCGAGCCTCCTACCCCGGAACGAGGTGAGTGGGAGGCTCTGGGTCTTTTCTGTCTGGAGTGATACTTGGTGGGGACTGGGTCTCCACGGCGAGAAACCAAAGAGACTTCCTGGGGCGCACGGAAGCTGGGAAGCTGCCCGCCTGACTCCCAGCCGCTGGACACCTCCTCTTTGTGCCCAGAAGGGAGTGTGTGTCCGAGAAAGACGGAGTTGTGCGCTGAAAAAGAAGCCAAGTGTGTTTTGGGAAACCTTGGGCAGCGCTTTCCAGAGACACCGCCTGAGATTTAAACCCATCCGGGGCTGGAAAAGCACAGGTGGGAGGCGGGGGATGTGCCGGGGTCCCCGCAGGCAGCCGGGAAAGGCCCGCGGGTCCCCGCCGCCGGCCACTGGGGGATTGCACGTCCCTTCCCTCCGCCACGATCTTCCCAGCCCGGCCAGTTCCAGAACATCACTCTGCCCTGGTGTGTGGCGAATTGCATCCTTCTGCCCCACATCCTCGCTGAGAATCACTTGTTGCTGGAATGGTGTGCTGAAGTGGTAGCGATTCTGACCTCCCAGCTATAGCAGGCGATGCGTATTTCGTGGAGAAAATGCCTCGGGGGGAGCCCGCAGAACGGCAGGCTTTCGTTATCCATACGCAGTCCATTTCTTCGTTATTCTTGCACCCGATTAGAACTCATTTTGTGTAAGATGTAGAACTAACATCGATGTGATTTTCATTTTCTGGGCATCTTTTAATGATTCTTGAATATGTAGCAAATGTCACGCAAAATGACTGTTTTCCTTAACATCACAGCTCCCAACAGACTGCCCTCTAATCTCTGCCACATCTCCCTAAAACCCATGCGGTGACTTGGCTGGTTAATTTCATTTGCCGAGTGCCTGCGCTCTGGCTAGGTACAGGGCAAGTTGGTCTTCAGAACCTCATTCGCCTTGCATGCCCTTCCTTTCCTCAACAGGGGACAACCAGAAGCTCATGACCAATCTTGGGCTTGCTGGTGATGTCACACTACAACTAGGGCATTGTTTCTGGTCCATCCCGTGGTCTCTCAAAGGGAGGGCTTTCCGTTGGGTCCCGGCTATCCGCATTGAATAAGCAACCCAGGTTTTTGCACACTGAAGTAGCAGACCCACCAATCTAGAAGCACCCTCACTTCAATTTCAGAACTTTCTCTTCTCTCCTGCAAGCCACAGGCAATGTTGCGTCAGAGGTTCATTAACATCTGCTCCATTTTTGAAACTGCTGTAGTAACTCTTCCTTTGCTGGCTTCCTGCTAGATGGCAGTGTGTAACAGTGAATTAAACACACAGCCTTAACTGTTACTGTTATTATGGCTCATCTTTTATTCTTCATTAAAAAAAAAAAAACCTTTATCCTACAAACAGTACATTTAAAAAATTAAAGCTAGGGTTAAATATAGAAAATAAACAAGAACATAGTTTGGACAAACAGTAATGTTATTTGCATATGTGTTAAGTGTTGCTCAGATGCAGACTTTTCTAACCCATGTTTAAATGCTTTCTAAATGTGGAATGTAAAGTGTTGATTTCCATGGGAATGCAATACCTAATTCAATTACTGGCATTTTCCCATAAACATTATACTGTTTCTGAACATGCATTGTTAAACGTTAAAAAATATATACATATATGAGTCTGTCTTTATTTACAGTGTTTTTAAGATGTTTATTTCTTGGAGAATAAAATTTGAGTTTTCAAAAGTTAGTGCGGAATTACTAAAAAGCAGAATGAAGGTAAAGTAATGCTAAACTTGTTATACAGAAATATTTCTTTTTTTTTTTTAAAGATTTTATTTATTTATTTGACAGACAGAGATCACAAGTAGGCAGAGAGGCAGGCAGAGAGAGAGAGGAGGAAGCAGGCTCTCCAAGGAGCAGAGAGCCTGATGTGGGGCTCGATCCCAGGACCCTGGGATCATGACCTGAGCCGAAGGCAGAGGCTTTAACCCACTGAGCCACCCAAGCACCCCCAGAAATATTTCTTTATATTTACAGAACTCTTGGTTTATAATGACTCAAATGATCTTGATCAATGTCTCTTTAGTGGAGCAGTCTTTCTACTATGGAGAGTTTTTGCTCCCAGGCAGTATTTGTGGGATCAGAAAGCTTCATTTTGGAACCCCAGGAGATCCCCTGGTCCAGCCTTTAGTCTTTGGGCGCGTGAAGTGTTAGCCCCACTGTGTTAGTGTTATCTAACGTGTGCCTCACTCATTATTACTTAAGTGGTCAAAGCAGATGAGGGATTTCAATTCAGAGCTTTTGCCAGGTAGGAAGATTGTTACATCGTAGCCAAAAACTCTTCTTGGAGAAGAAACAGTTACTAAGAAGATCTTAGAAGGAGAAAGATGAGAAAATCTTGCCCTTCAAGAGCTGGCTAAATTCTTGTTGAGATACAGAATCTTCACAGTTTTGTGCCCTCACCTCCATTTAAAAAAAAAAAAATCTGTTCCCTTTGAATGCTTCTATTTTGGGCTGCATATCAGTCTTTTCGGTGTTTTGCTTCTTCTTCTTTTTTTTTTTTTTTTGGTCTGAAATGTTTTAATTTAGTTTCTGCATTAAGTAGCACCACTAAATGAAGTTATATAATTACTGCATAATTTGAATGCTTCAGCATGTCCAGAATTTAAGCGTTAAGAATGGCATCACCAGGGGCACCTGGGTGGCTCAGTGAGTTAAAGCCTCTGCCTTCAGCTCAGGTCATGATCCCAGGTCCTGGGATCAAGCCCCGCATTGGGCTCTCTGCTCAGCTTGCTTCCTCCTCTCTCTCTCTGCCTGCCTCTCTGCCTACTTGTGATCTCTGTCTGTCGAATAAATAAATAAAATCTTTAAAAAAAAAAAAAAGAATGGCATCACCAAAAAAAAAAAAAAAGAGAGGAAAAAAAAAGAATGGCATCACCTTCGGTTCTACAATAGAGATGTGAAGGTCTCAGGCTGCAAATTTCTCCCCCGCTCCCCATCCTTAATTACCAGCCTGGCCTCATGTGACTGCCAGTATCCCTTTACCTCTCCTTACTTATCTGTCTCACCTGAAATGTGTGCTTGGTAGAAGAGGATGGCCTTCTCAGATAATCTGCAACCCTAAGCTCTCTAGTAAAAATAAACGCTAAGCAAAATACAAAGTCTTTTTTAAAAGAGTGAGGAACATGAGCACTGATAAATGTCAATAAAGAAAATTGAAAAAAAAAATAAAAGAAAGAAAATTGGACGAGGGGTGCCTGGGTGACTTAGTGGGTTAAAGCCTCTGCCTTTGGCTCAAGTCATGATCCCAGAGTCCTGGGATCGAGTCCCGCATTGGGCTCTCTGCTCAGCAGGGAACCTGCTTCCCTCTCTCTCTCTGCCTGCCTCTCTGCCTACTTGTAATCTGTCAAATAAATACATAAAATCTTAAAAAAAAAACAAAAGAAAATTGGATGAAAGTGGAGACGAACCACCATGCCAGGTTTACCAGTTGCCCAAGGAACAGGTGCAGGTACTAAGGAAGTCTTTAGCAAATTAAGTATGTCAGCTTTTAGTGTTCAACTAGTGTTTTATATATATCCAATAAAGCAACTTTAGAAAGGTTCCTGAAATCTGCCAGCTTCCTGCATTCTTTCTGCTGCTGTGATAGAAACAAGCACGATATGGACCTAGATCTCCCAACTTGGCATTGGGAGGGGTAAGGCTGGCCAAAGCAGGGGGCCTGGAGAGTCTAGTAGAATGGCTGGGATAGTGAAGGTGGTGTGGTTGTGCTAGGCAGGGGTTAGGGCACAGAACAGGAAGCTACATTCCAGCAATAGTCGGAACAAAGGCCGTGCCTGGCGGAAGCTGGAGAAATAGGGCAAGATCCAGGGAATCTTGTTCTTGGAGCTAATACATTTGATCTTTATCTTGAAATCTGTGGGAAGCCACTGATGGATTGTAATCAGAGGAGAGAGATCACATTGACATCCCAGAAACAACCCTACAGCCAAATGGTGAGTGCAAGGGGTCAGACCGGTAGGAACACCAGTTGTCAGGTTTTGGAGAGACCAAACAGGAATGAAAGAGGAGTGTTGATGAGAACAAGTAGCTGAAGGGAGCGGCTGAAAAGCATCTGGAGAGTTGTCCAAAGCCCTCAGACCTTCCCACCTGCCTGCCATCATCTGTCTTTCTCAGGACAGCCATGTTTAAGGGTTGTTGTGAGGATTTACACATAATAAAATGAAAACATACTTTGGGAGAGTCAAGCCTACTTGAGAGATTGCACCTGAGTGGGTATAATTTAAGCTTGGTAATTAGATACGGTCCTTTTAAAGATGCTCCCTGGTCTAACCTTAAGCTCTCTTTATTTATTTATTTTTTTTAAGATTGTGTTTGTTTATTTATTTGAGAGAGAGTGAGAGAGAGCAGGAGAGGGGAGAAGGTCAGAGGGAGAAGCAGACTCCCCACGGAGCTGGGAGCCTGATGCAGGACGAGATCGAGGACTCTGGGATCATGACCTGAGCTGAAGGCAGTGGCTTAACCAACTGAGCCATCCAGCTGTCCCTTAAGCTCTCTTTAGATAGTCAGTTGCTTATTTATTTATTTATTTTTTAGACGTTATTTATTTGACAGACAGAGATCACAAGCAGGCAGAGAGGCAGGCAGAGAGAGAGGAGGAAGCAGGCTCCCCGCTGAGCAGAGAGCCCGATGTGGGGCTCGATCCCAGGACCCTGAGATCATGACCTGAGCCGAAAGCAGAGGCTTAACCCACTGAGCCACCCAGGCGCCCCAATAGTCAGTTGCTTATTAAGTCCATCGACACACAGGTGCCTAGACGAGAGATGATCAAAGGAGTCTTCCCAGGGCTCCCAGCCCCGGCCTCACCTCTTTCCCCTGCCATGGGGACAGGGAGGGAGAGGCAGAGACACATGAAGTATCAGGGTCAGAAAACCCCATGCGTCTCCCAGGGTTACCTTCTCATTTTATACTCAGGGCAGAAATCATCTTCTGGGTCCCATTTCTGAGACCCTTAACCCATACCTTGGACTGGCACTGCAAGGCTGAAATTTGAAGCTGGCATCCTCAGACTGCTAATTTGCTCTAAGATCCCTTCTCTGTCCATTTTAATTCAAAACAAAGTGGAGAAAGTTGAACTTATTTTAGGGTGAAGGGCTTGCTGGTATTGACGGACTAGTGCCTGCAGGAGTGTGGGCTGGTCACGCTCAGCTTCAGACCCCGCTCTGGGCAGCAGATGGCCGGCCCCAGGCAGTGCACATGAGCCAAAAAATGCATTTCAGAAGCTCAGCTCTAGGGTCAAGAGGGTTGGTTAGCGAGCGTCCGTTTCAGATGTTACCTACCATGCTTGTCTGAACAGGTACACATTGCTTCATCTGGGAAAGGAGCGTTCTGGGGCATCCTCTGGCGGACTCTGAGGTTCACCCTGCAGGCAGTGGTGAAACAGGAGGGAGCTTTCCTCCTGGAGTCCCATTGCATGGCGCTTACTGACTTTCGCCACACTCTCTGCAAGCCCGTCTGTCCCACCAGTGGGGGGACTGGTGACTGGATGACAAGCTCCTTGGTAATTGATACCATAAATTAGATTGATGTGCACCAAGGTCTGGTTGATGGCTGCATGCTATAAATCATAATACCGTCTATACTAACCTAGGCTCTGTTCTTTAGAATAGTAGCAGGCTCGGTCCCTGAGACCTCACTATACCTCTGGCTTTAGGAGTAAAACTAAATTGCGAATTTTTGGATGAAAGTCAATGTGTAACCTTAAATTCCTGTCATAGTTCGTACGGTCATGTAAAGACTCAAAATGGCCCTACCTAGGAAGGATGCTAGGACAGCATTGTGATAGCTGTAAAAATACCCCAAACTAGGTCCTTCCCATTTTCACCCTATCTTTTGTTTTCCTTTATTACTGGCCCTCCTGGACTCCTAACAAGTGGTCACTATTTCCCCCATCTCTTTCCTTTCCCATGAGCCTGGAGACAAGCCACCTGATTTCTAGACCCACTTCAACCTATAAAAGCTATGATCTTGGGCAAAGCACTTAAACTTGCTGAGGCTCAGTTTCCTTATTTGTGGGAGCTGAGACTAAAACCTGCCTCGCTTACTTTACAAGGTGGCTATCCATAAGATTGAGTGGAGTGATATACGGTAAAATCTTCTGAAGATGATAGAGTTTTATACCCACTTAAGGTGGTAATAATTCATTACCTAATCTGGATTACATTAATTATAGCTATAATAAATTGCTTTTGCATATAAAACAGAAATTGGATCATCTTCCTGTAACACAAAGGAAAGAAATAATGACAGTTAACGTTTATTCTTTACTGTGATGAAACTGAAGCTTAGAAAGATTTAGTAACTTGTCCAAATTTATATTCAATGTAAATGACAGAGCCAGGATTGAAACCCTAAGTGCTAGCTCCACATTTTAGGTAGTTAAGAGCTACTAGCATCACCTGAGTAGAAGGGAAGGCAGTTTTCAGGTTCTTACAGACTTTTGTAATTTTTTCTCTGGTTATACCAGGTCACTGAGAGCGATTGTATACAGGTTTTTCTCTGGTGAAGGCACATAATCTATGTTAGTATTATTGGGTGTGAATTTTATAGTCTTAAGTGTCAAAAATATAAAAGAATACATGAACCTCAGAGTCTGACTAGTTTCTGGTTGTCGTACTTACCAAAGTTGTAGTGTTGGGTAAGTTAATTTACTTTCTTCAAATTGGGTTTTCTCATCCTTAAAAATGAGGACAGCAATATTTTCTTCATAGAGTTGTGGGAGGATTGAATGATCTTATGCATGCTGAGCCCTGAGGAAGGGCCTCGCTTACAAGAGGTCACTCAACAAATATTAGTGATCTCCTTTTCTTTGCCAAAGAGAGTGTTTCTCCTTTTGAAGTTCCAGTGGCTGAGGCAGCAACATACCTTATATGAATTCAGCTTGTTTTACACTTAAAAGTATAATAAGAATGATAGTGAATATTTAAAAATAAGTTATCCAGTAATTATTGGACATTTACGTGCCACACTGTAAAACAAGTGTTTTAGTACTCTTATCTCATATATAATTCTCAATAACTTTCTGATTAGGCACCCTTATTATCTACATTTTGGAAAATGAGACTTTTTTAAAGATTTAAAAAAATCTTTAAAAATAAATTTAAAATTTATTTTTATTTTTTATTTATTTTTTTAAAAGATTGTATTTATTTATTTGACAGAGATCACAGATAGTCAGAGAGGCAGGCAGAGAGAGAGAGAGGGGGATGCAGGCTCCCCACGGAGCAGAGAGCCCGATGCGAGGCTTGATCCCGGGACCCCAAGATCATGACCTGAGCTGAAGACAGAGGCTTTAACCCACTGAGCCACCCAGGCGCCCCACAAATTTTTATTTATTTTTAAATATCTTATTTAGAGAGAGCACGAGTGAGTACAAGCAGGGGGAATAGCAGGCAGAGGGAGAGGGAGAAGCAGGCTCCCCGAAGAGCAGGGGATGTGGGACTCCCTCCCAGGATCCCCGGATCGTGACCTGAGCTGAAGGCAGATGCTTAACCAATTGAACCCCACAGGTGCCTGAGATTTTGAGAGGCTGGTTAGACCAGCTGGGCAGTTGAGATTTGAATTTTGGCAGGCTGAGTCTAGAGCTGTTCTCTTAGTTACTGTGGGTTGCAGAAGTTTCATGGATTGGAAAAGAGGAAAAACCCACCATCGGTGATGTCTGAAACCAAGATTCATTTTTTTTTTTTGCCAAGGGACTTAGCCTGGACTTAAAAGTAAATCAGGGTAGATGCACGAGAGGGGAGTCCACCTTAAGGCCTATGTTTTTCACCAGAATTCCACATCATTTTTATATTTCTAATTATATCTTTGATGCTGTATCTGAGAGATGTACAATCAGATCTCAGAACCAGATGTTTGGGGTACTGTAAAGCAGCGTCAGGAATGTTGATCCTTGGGGCTCCTGGGTGGCTCAGTGGGTTAAGCCTCTACCTTTGGCTCAGGTCCTGATCTCAGGGTCCTGGGATCGAGGCCTGCATCCGCTCTCTGCTCAGCAGGGAGCCTGCTTCTTGCTCTCTCTCTGCCTGCCTCTCAGCCTACTTGTGATCTCTCTCTGTCAAATAAAGGAATATAATCTTTAAAAAAAAAAAAAAGAATGTTGATCCTTGCTCTGTTCTGAAACTCCACCGGGTCATTTGACCAAGACATTGGCTGCACAGAGCCTTAGGAATAAAAAGGGCATTCTTTGGAACTGTTTAGTTCATTTTTAAAAAAGATTTTATTTATTTATAAATAAATAAGGCTTATTTATAAATAAATAAAAATTTCTATTTATAAATAAAATAAAAAGAGGCTTTAACCCACTGAGCCACCCAGGCGCCCCTGTTTAGTTCATTTTTAAAGCTTTTTGAAAAAATCATGTATTTCAGACAGATGGAAATCTTATTTCAGAACTTCCAGAGAATCATATTGTTTGCGCAACCCACTGCTTTGTTACACTTGCCACAGAAGACTGAACAAATGCATCAAAATTCCTTCTCTTGTGGTGAAAGAAGTTGTTTTCCTTAGGGAAAGTTTGGGTCAGTTGATCGTGATTTATTTTCAAACCAAGCCTGAAACTTTTATTTATTTTCTCCCTAATTTTTATAGGAGTGGGTGGGTAATCTTGGTAATTTTTTTTTGTCTTTTTTATTTTTAGAGAGAGAGCTGACGCATGGGGGAGGTAGAGGAAGAGAGAGAATCTTTTTTTTTTTTTTTAAAGATTTTATTTATTTATTTATATAACAGGGAGAGAGAGAGCACAAGTAGGCAGAGCAGCAGGCAGAGGGAGAGGGAGAAGCAGTGTCCCTGCTGAGCAGGGAGCCCCATACAGGGCTTAATCCCAGGACCCTGGGATCATGACCTGAGCTGAAGGCAGACGGGTAACCTACTGAGCTACCCAGGTGCCACGGAAGAGTGAGAATCTTAAGCAAACTCTGCGCTCAGCAGGGAGCCCAACCCAGGGCTTGGTCTCACAGCGCTGAGATGGTGACCTGAGCGGAAACCAATAGTCAGAAGCTTAACCAACCTAGCCACCCAGATACCCCAATTGTGGTAATTTTTATTCCACTTTTCTACTCCTTTGAAACCTAAGCAGAATAAAGTGACTACATGTATGTGACTTGTGGAATTCAATCTTCTGATGGCAGAGAAAATTAAGTGGAAACAGAATTTTAGACTCAGGACCTAGTTGTAGACCTGCCACGGCCCTCTAAGGGGGCGTGTGACCTTGGCCAAGTCACTTTACCTCTCTGATTTTGGTTTCCTTATCCAGGAGTGAGGTATCTAGGATCCCGAAGGTTTCTTTTAGTTTTAAATTGTGAGGTTTCTGTGTGATAACCCTGAAAGACTAACGTGTATTAAATTTTCTGCACTATGGCTATAAAATTATTCGTTTGTTACAGAATTTTTGGATGCCTTCTGGTTTGAAGACTCCAGCTGCTCTGATGATAGCTTAAGAAGACTGCATGCTGTTCCCTCTCGATGCCAAGCCAGGCCTGCACAGAACCTCGGATCTCAGTCCTTCATGGAGACCAGGTCCCAGCAGGAATGACAGTGGAAGAAATTGGCAACCAGATGGTTCCTCCGCGTGAAGCTGTCTTGGGCTGTGGGCCGGCTCGAGAACACCTGGTCACCAGGCTAGCCCTCTGTCAGTCACCCAGGGTCAGGCAGCATGGTGTGGATTCAGAGGAGGAAGCTTTTGGCATCTTGCCTATGCATCATGGCCACCGTCTTTCTGCTTGTCACACTCCAGGTAGCAAGAATTGGGTTGCTTGGTGTCGGTTCCTGAGCCATTCCACCGTGCCCGCCCTCCACCCACCCCTGTTCTCTCCAAGGACTTTACTCTTCGCTTAATCTCTCAGAATTGGGGGGTTCTCTGTCTAAGGCAGGGGAAATACTTTTTTTTTTTGTCAATAGATAAAACTGAGTTTTAGTGAGTGGGTGTGTCAGGTAGAAATGAAATCAGTGAGTACGGGATCAATTCGTGACTCTTGTAGGGTCCTGGTTCTAGAAGAAGAGAAAGTAGAGCTCCATTTGTCTTACTGGGTCAAATTTACATGGCTTTCTCAAAGCCCCATATTGTGATGACTTCTGAAAGATGGCATTCTTGAAGAAGCTGTGTGTATTCTAAGAATAAGGTCATCCATTTTGTGGAACACAAGCATCCGTGTTAATACATTTGCCATTCTTGACATATCGCTCAACCCAGGACTGAATGTGGGTGGTTTTTTGTTTTGTTTCTTTTAAGATTTTATTTATTTTATTTTTTTATTTTTTAAAGATTTTATTTATTTATTTGAGACAGAGAGAGAATGAGAGAGAGAAAGCATGAGAGGAGAGAGGTCAGTGGGAGAAGCAGACTCCCTCGTGAGTAGGTAGCCTGATGTGGGACTCGATCCTGGGACTCCAGGATCATGACCTGAGCCAAAGGCAGTTGCTTAGCCAACTGGGCCACCCAGGTGCCTGATGTTATTTATTTATCAGAGAGAGAGGGCACGAGCAGAGAGAACTGCAGGCAGGGGGAAGCAGGCTCCCTGCTGAGCAGGGAGCCCTGATGCGGGGCTCGATCCCAGGACCCCGAGATCATGACTTGAGCTGAAGGCAGAGGCTTAACCCACTGAGCCTCCCAGGCGCCCCTGCATGTGGGTGTTTGAACTGCAGCATTTTCTAGTCTTCTCATCTTGCATTTAGTTGGTGATTCTGAAGTTCATTACTGATTTCAAATTAAAATAAAAATGACACAGCGATGGAAAAAGTGTAGATATGAATCCACATATAGTGTAGACCCGTTCAAGCACCGGCTGTCCAGCTGGAAATTCAAAACACTTTTAAAGATTATTTATGGATGTGCCCACTTCAGGTGTGGGGTTGATGGAAACAGAGGTGTTCTCTGAGCTTTTTCCTCTCCATCAAGATTGAATGAGATAATGCATATAAAAGCACTTTGGCAGGGACGCCTGGGTGGCTCAGTTGGTTAAGCAGCTGCCTTCGGCTCAGGTCATGATCCCAGCGTCCTGGGATCGAGTCCCACATCGGGCTTCTTGCTCGGCAGGGAGCCTGCTTCTCCCTCTGCCTCTGCCTGCCATTCTGTCTGCCTGTGCTTGCTCTCTCTCCGAAAAAAAAAAAAAAAGCACTTTGGCAGACGGGCTGGCGCTGGACTTCTACCCCCCTCTGCTGCCAGATCGGGATCCTGGCTGGAGGAAATACTTGACCCCCTCTCGTCTGTCTTGTGGGCGTCCAGGACCTGCTTGTGCAGGAGGGGCTGGAGTTCCCTACTCCCTGTGGGAAGTTATGAGAGCTTTGATCCTACTAGACAATTACTTTGGCATTTTTCCAGTTATGAGGAATGGCTGTGTCAAAGCTAAGCACTTTTCTTTTTTTTTTTTTTTAAGACTTTATTTTATTTATTTGACAGAGGGAGAGAGAGAGATCACAAGGAGGCAGAGAGGCAGGCAGAGGGGGAGGGAGAATCAGGCTCCCTGCCAAGCAGAGAGTCCGGATGCAGGACTTGATCCCAGGACCCTGAGATCACGACCTGAGCTGAGGCAGAGGCTTCTGCCTGAGCCACCCAAGCACCCCTTTTTTCTTTTTTCTTAAGATTTTTTTTTAAATTTATGTATTTGAGAGAGCGAGAGAGAGAGAGAGAATGAGCAGGGGGAGGGGCAGAGGGAGAGGGAGAAGCAGACTCCCATCTGAGCAAGGAGCTCATCTCAGGGCTCGAACTCAGGACCCCAGGATCATGACCTGAGCCAAAGGCTGACGTTTAGCTGACTGAGCCATGCAGGGGCCCCTAAGAGCTTTTCTTTTGATGTCACAAGCCATTGCCATGTTTTTGTTATGCCTGTCATTTCTGAGCTTCCGTCACTCGTGGGGAACCACTGTCCCTCTGTGTCCGCTCTGCCTGCCCTGCCCTCTACACTTCTGTTACCGATGGCCTAGCTGTCCAGTGACCCAGACCATCCTGAAAGAAATAAATGTGGTTTTACAGGGAGGGGAGCCCAGTATTTGTAGTAGACTTCACTTGGTGCCACAGTAGAAATTATTAGACATAAAAGACCTGTGTTAGGACTCCTTTAACTGTAATAAAAAGAAACCAGTTGGCAATTTATGATGAATTCTCCCTAGAATGCAGTCTTGAGTAAGAGCCAGATAATAGCCTGACTCTCATGGGATTCATTAAGAGATAAAACTATTGAGACACCTGGGTGACTCAGTGGGTTAAGTCTCTGCCTTCTGCTCAGGTCATGATCTCAGGGTCCTGGGATCGAGCCCCGCATCGGGCTCCCTGCTCAGCGGGAGCCTGCTCCCCACCCCTCTGCCTGCCTCTTGGTCTACTTGTGATCTCTCTCTCTCTGTCTCTGTCAAATGAATAAATAAAATCTTTAAAAAAAAAAAAGGGAGAAAACTATTTCCAGGTACTCTATATGCCTATGAAATGCAGAAATGTAGCTGGCATGTGTTTAGTAGAAGGAAGCGTGCTTATTGGTAGACATTTTGTCAGCACCCCAGTCTCTGGAACTTGTGGGTATGTAAATTTACATGGCAGAAGGGCCCTTGCAGATGGGATTAGGTGAGACACTTCCAGATGAGGAGATTATCCAGAATTATCCATGTGAGCCCAGTGTCCTCACATGAGTCTTTAGAAGCTAAGAGTCTTCCGTGGCTGTGGTCATACAGAGATGTGACAATGGAATAAGCATCAGAGGGAAGCAACATTGCTGGGCTTGATGATGGAGAAGACGCGGCGAGCCAAGAGTGATGTGTGGCTCGAAAAGATAGGGGAGCAAGAAAATGCCGTCTCCAGAGCTTCCAGAGAAGACTGTGGTCCTGCTAACACCTTGCTTTTAGCCTAGTGAGACCAAGGTCAGCCTTCTCACCTCCAGAACTAGGCAATAATAAATGCATTGGTTACTTTCTTCTTTCTTTTTTTAAAAATGTATTTATCCAGTTTAGAGAGACAGCAGGGGGAGAGCCAGAGGGAGAAAGAATCTCAAGCAGACTCCTCACTGAACGCGGAGCCCCATGTGGGGCTCGATCCCATGATCCTAAGATCAGGACCCTGAGGTCATGACCCCAGTGGAAATCAAGAGTGAGACGCTCAACCAAGTCAGCCACCCAGACGCCCCAATAAATGTGTTGTTTTCCATTGCTGAGTTCATGGTAATTTGTTCTAGCTGCAGTAGAAAACTAATACGCAGCTTCATCATCAAGATGAACGAGGGGCACGCGAGAGGCGATGAGACAGTCTGATTCTGCAATACTTGTGTTCTCCTTCAGGTCGTGGTCGAGCTGGGAAAATTTGAAAGGAAGAAGTTTAAAATTTCCAGTTTGCAAAATGGACAGGCAAAAGTGGAAGAGGAGCCTGCAGGTCTCTATCCGTTCCCCGGGAGAGAAGCATGGATCTTGACTAGGAAACCCCAACGGGACACTGAGAGCTACCCCATCATGCTTTGGTGGTCCCCACTGACCGGGGAGACCGGAAGGCTCGGCCAGTGCGGGGCAGATGCGTGTTTCTTCACCATCAACAGGACCTTCCTACATCATCCCATGACCAAAGCCTTCCTCTTCTATGGTAAGTGGGGCATTTGCCTGTTTCCTATTGCTTGCTGACATCCTGCTGACTTTCTGCTCGCCTCCCAAGGAAGAGAAGGTGGCGCTGCCCTTGAACACACTTTGACACGCCTGACGTCCTTTGCACTTGCTCCATGTAAGGCCTGAGCTTTTAGCAGGTGCGATAAATAAACAAGCTTGACCAACATAAAGGTGGTTGGCCAGCTGTTTGGCAATTCTGGAAGAGAAGGGATGTTTCCTCTCACCCTTTCACAGCTAGATTCTGTGCTTACCAAATTTGGTATTTAGAGAACTGGGTATTGATTCTGTTGTTGGGATCCATTTAGAATGTCACCCGTGATAATAGCCAGGAGATTCTGATCACCATAGCAAGGGTTTAATTGGACATTAGCTAAGCACAGTGTTCTTTTATTTCATTAGATTAATCAGTAATAAAAATAAAAATATTGCTCAGCTTTGGCTGAACAATATCGAGAGTAAGTTGGTGTTCATTGCTTCCTGAGGCTGATTATATGTCCTGCTGGGATTGGGGGCAGCCAGACCCAGCGAGGGGAATTAGCAAACTGCCAGCAGTGGGGGAGATTCAGAGCTCCCGGGTGACGAGTGGAGGGGGCAAAGTGGCACACGTGAGCAGACTTGACCGAATATGTGCAAGGTCGATCAGTTGGGAAGTCCATGAAAGCCAATCTGCTTTAGAGTGGTGTGGATGTGTATCTGTATTTATGTGTGTGTGTCTGTGTGTGTGTGAGAGAGAGAGAGAAAGGAGAGAGAGAGGGAGACTTCACACTCTTCCTCTAGAGACAGGGCTGGAGTCTCTGCCTGAAACCAGTAGGAGAGTTTGTTCTCCCCTTGCCGTAGGCGAGAAGCAGCCATCACATCACTGCTGTACCCCCTTGCTACCAGCATCTGTTGATCACAATAGGGAGACGTTTCTTTGAGAGTATCTGGTGCTACTCAGGGCAAACAGGCTACAGGGCAAGGGTCATCTTAGTATATGACGTGGCTCACTGAGACGGCCTAATGATGTCAGCACTGAATACTAATCTATCTAAAATGATGCAACTTTTGGGGAAGGCTACAGGGATGAGGAATTGAGTGCGGCGGGCAGGGGCAAGGGAGAGTTAAATATACATCTTCTGTAGAAAGAATCAATATATACTGTCGAAAACTGAAAAGTCAAGAAGTAAAATCTAAGTCTGTTTTTTGGACATACTGGAGGTCTGTGTGCATGTATGACATGTTAAAAAGTTTCGTTTAGGGGCTCCTGGGTGGCTCAGTGGGTTAAAGCCTCTGCCTTCGGCTCAGGTCATGATCCCAGGGTCCAGGGAGCCTGCTTCCTCCTCTCTCTCTGCCTGCCTCTTTGTCTACTTGTGATCTCTCTCTGTCAAATAAATAAATAAAATCCTTAAAAAAAATATTTTTTTTTTTAAAGTTTCGTTTAGGGGTTTCTGGGTGGCTCAGTCGGTTGGACATCTGCCTTTGGCTTGGTCATGATCCTGGAGTCTGGGGGTTGAGCCCCTCCATTAGGCTCCCTGCTCAGTGGGAGAGTCTGCTTCTCCCTTTCCTGTGGCCTCTTTCCCTGCTCGTGCTTGGTCTCTTTCACTTACTCTCTCTTTCTCAAATAAATAAAATTTTAAAAAAGATAAGTTTTGTTTAAAAGGCCACCACTGTGATATGACCACTTTGGATAATGGTCTGGCAGTATCCAGTCAATGTAAATTCATACGAGATCATCCCACTGCCAGGTATGAAGCCTCACGGAATGTCACACACGCACAGGGATTGCTTACAGTAGCGTTGTTTGTCCTGAGCAAGGTTCTTTTTTTTTTTTTTTTTTAAGATTTTATTTATTTGCGAGAGAGAGACACACAGTGAGAGAGGGAATACAAGCAGGGGGAGTGGGAGAGGGAGAAGCAGGCTCCCCGCCGAGCAGGGAGCCCGATGGGGGGCTCGATTCCAGGACCCTGGAACCATGATCCGAGCAGAAGGCAGAGGCTTAATGACTGAGCCACCCAGGCGCCCCCTAAGTAAGGTTCTTAAAATCTCCTAAATGTCCAACAAGAGAAAAGTGGTCAAATGAAGTGTGATATATAGAAATTCAGTGTGATACCTCGCAACAGTGGAAATGGACGCCCAATGCCAATAGGACCTTGGAAACCATGTAAGAGGAAAAGCAAGTTAGAGAGCTGTGACAGAAAGTTAATACATCCGGTCTCCCCGAGGTTCCTGACCTGCTCCGGTCTCGAGTGCTTGCCCTTTTTGCTGGGTACACAGGTCCTGTGCTGACTCCCCGTTGTTCTGGGGGCTCCCTATGCCTTATTCTTGTGTTGTCTTCCCTTCTCCTCCTCCTTCCACTCCCCCTCCTCCTACCCCTCTTAAAAAGATTTATTTTTTAGAGAGAACATGGGGGAAAGGTTGGGGGCGTGAGAGAGAGAATCCCAAGCAGACTCCCCACTGAGCGGGCCTCAATCTCATGACCCTGAGATCAGAACCTGAGAGGAAATCAGGAGTCCAACACTTAACCGACTGAGCCCCACAGGCACCCCTCCTGTTTCTTTTAGGACTTATTTTTCTCTTTCCTGGTTTATATTTTTGTTTCAGTATTTTCTGAAGATAAGTTTTCAGTGACTTTGTATGTGTGAAAATGTGTTCCTTTTACTCTCACCTTCATTCGTGGTTTGGCTTAGCATAGAATTCTAGGTAAGAAATGCTTTTCTTTCTGAATTAAAAAAAAAAGATTTTATTTATTTATTTGACAGAGAGAGAGAGAATCACAAGTAGGCAGAGAGGCAGGCAGAGAGAGAGGGGGAAGCAGGCTCCCTGCTGAGCCGAGAACCCGATGTGGGGCTCAATGTGGGGCTCAATGCAGGGCTCGATCCCAGGACCCTGAGATCGTGACCTGAGGCGCTGAAAGCAGAGGCTTAACCCAATGAGCCACCCAGGCGCCCCTTCTTTCTGAATTTGAAAGACATTTTCCTGCTGTCTTCTAGCTTCTGCTGTTGTTGCTTGGGAAGCCAAAGCTATTTTAATTCCTCCTCCTTTGTATTTTGTTCCCCTCTTCCCTCTCTGGAAAAATATAGAATATTCTCTTTTCACTGGTTTCAAAACTTAGTATGATGCTTTGCTGTGGGCCTATTTTCCTTTTATTGAGGTGGATACTAAAATATCGATTGCCAGGAAGCCTACAGTATTTAGTATTTAGCTCAGTGACCTATCCAGGACTCACAGATCTACAGGTTCATGCACTTAATTTATGAGCACACCAAGACTCGATTCTTCTCTCAAGGATGGACTCACCTCCAACCCAGTTTCCAGGAGATGGTTGCGTCAACAGAAATGCTTCTGGCTTAATCTTCCTCTCTTGGGTTTTGTTACTCTCCAGCTCCGGAAACCATCTATGACTCTCATTGAGAGTTAAATATATGCCATTTTTACTATCCTGGCATTCAAGGCTCTGAAATCTGAATCCAGCCTGTCTTCTAAACTTAACCACTGGGATTCTATCCACTAAACCCTAGGTTCAAAAATCAAACTGCGATAGTCGCCATTTTAGGCAGAAACCACAAATGCACTAATTTACTGCCACTGTTTACTCAGTTTCTGAGTCCTACGTTGTCCTTTCTCTATTTGTCCTGTCAGAGACTCTCCCGAGTACCCACCATTTGTTTGGAAACATGGATGAATAATGGAGCGTCTGATGTCACAGATTATTATCTTGAGACAAAGACATTACCTGACCGTGATGCAGTTCTAAGTGGCATATATCTCACAGCAGAAGTGTCAGTAAATCTTGTGGAATTTCAAAGAAGGGAGAGAGAACATATGACTGGAGGGGTCAGGAAAGGCTTTATAAGACCTCCTTCATAAAAGAGGAGAAATTTGAAATTTTGAGAGAAAATGGAATTGGATTGTGTTGAGATTGGAGGACATTTCGTGAATGTGGGACGGCGTGAATGTGAGCAAAGAAGCGGAAAGTGATGGGTAATATCTGAGGTACAACAAGGCTGTAGCATAGTTCTGGGTAAGAGAGAAGTGGAGATTGAATGGTACATTGGGACCAGAACGTTGGAGAACCTTGAACGTTGGCTTTGGATCATTTTGGAGAATGGTCCCAGGGAGCCCCTGAGAATTGAATGGCCTTTTAAAAACCAACTCAGATATTAACACCTGTGAACCCTTCCGGATTCCCTCCCTTCAGAGGTAGCCTCTGCTGTGTGCCAAGCACAATGTCAATCCTGAGGAATAAAGAATAGAAATAAGGTAACGAAGGCATTTCGTTTTGTTCTGTATGATCTTCTCTTCTTTCATGGAGTGGAAAGTTCTGGATGATAGGGCAACATCAGTTCATCTTTGTACTTCCTTGACCCTTAAGTCTAGCACCTTTTCCGTGGTAGGTGTTCAGGTAATCTTCAACAAGACCTCAAGCCGAAGAGGATGCAGGGTCTAAACTTCTCCTCATCCACATGATAAGACGGAGGCTATGAAAGGTGAGGGATGTCCTGAGATGACACCGGGGTTAGCAGCGGAGTGGGACTCAGAGCCGATGTGTCCTGACGCCTGACCCATCCATTACCATTGTCAGCACCATATTTGAATGTACGCTCATGAGTATAATTAGATCTGGATATTTGGATTTGGGAATTACTTAAGATGTATGGTTTTTAACTGGCAGAATTAGAGATTCGGTTCATGAAGAAGGTCTGTTGAGCAAGATGGAATGAAGACACCACACGGTTCTGTCTGAGGGCTCCACAAACTCTAACTAAGTAGGTCACTCACAACGGCACATGGGACCCTGCTGCGGCAGGATTGGAAAAGAGAAAGCAGGGAAATGGTGCGCGTGTCCAAAGCTTCCCTAATTTAGTGAAATGGAAACTCAGAGGGTTATATAACCTCGAAGCTATTGTAAACCAGAATATTTTTGAGTTTGCTTGTTTCCTTGGCAGGCTACTTTCTTTTTCTTCTTCCTAGGTATGAGTCACTTACTTAATACGAACACAG